CTACAGGGTGTTGTCATTATTCAAAGCTATCATTACATGCACTGTGTATGGATAGATATAGCACAATAATTTTTGGATAAAACAATTTTAACTTAGGTACATACCTAATGTACCTATATCTACCTATATAGGTAAATAAAATTATGTAAGAATTATTTTAAAAATGATTTATGTATCAATTTTGAATGTTCTTCCCGGTATATTCTTTACATGCATAACTATACAGATATTCAGAGTTCGATCATTAGAGACAAGTGGTGAACCAGCTGGTGTTGGTGGATAATAAAGTCATCTAAATGACAATATGAAAATGTCCATGTATGATGTAACAAAAGTTAATTTCCAATTTTTAAGAATTATTGGTGAACTTTAATTTGATATTTTAAATTATTAAATTCATGACTGTATATATATATATATCTAATTAAGGTAAATAAATAAATACATCTAAACATTTAAGTACCTATAATACGTATAGGTATATCTATCCAGGTATTTGACATAATTACACCCAACTAGTAAATTAGTTATAGATAAAACGAGTAAAAATCTCCGAGTGCAACCAATTAAATGCATATATAAGTTGGATTTTTATCGTTCATACCGTACACCTGAGTCGAGTTTATATCTATCCTTACTTCGCTATACCTTTAGGTACATGAATAATTGCGTACCGATAAAATATACCAGGCATACCTCGGGGTGCTGAACCAATGTTATCGGCTTCATTTTCGAATTCCCGTCATTCTACAACTTTTTAAATCTCTTCATATGCCATCCTTAATGATTGGTCTCTTATATTTGAAATAATCGCGTATACGGTGCCAGTCATATAACGTATATATCTGCAGTGGTCAGCACGGGGAATATTTCATATATTCGCATTCATTCGCTCGTTTCGCTCGGCGAGAGGAGTTATAATGAGGATATCGATCTGGATTCCGATGTTCTTGTAAATGGTCGATTTCTAATGATTTACTAAGGTATTTGTGATGCGTGTACAGAAACGCATCAGGACGGGAATCGAAATAATTTAGATTCCCATGCAGATGATGTACGAATATTATTTTACGAATTTGAAATACGTGATGAAAATGTTTTCTTTTATTCTTACCTACCTAGGTACTAAGCCTAAACGAAATAGATGCTTATCGTATATTTCGACGGTTTATCTAGGACCGTTAGTAATTTTTTGACGCAACAGATAAAGGAAAACACCACCGCAATAACTATGCGAAGATAACGTCTCGGCGAAGTCACAAAGTGATACATTCGTGTGATAAGGGAGTCAGGATATATGCACCTTGCGTTTCTAACAGTATACCAAAAATTCGCTTTCGTACAGCGTGGTCAGTGTGGTATCTCCAATTTTTCTCTTACCTAACACCTACCCTCTCTTATAGCGGTAAATGTAGGTATCTGTTTAAGTCTAGGGACGAAAAAGTTGTGAATTTACTATAGCTTTTATACCTGCTGATAATTACTTTGGTTTGGGTTTTTTTGTGTTTCTTATAAGATTCTTCGCATAATTTCTTACTGTCGAATGTCGAATATAAGGGTTACAATTTTAGATAGTTCTGTAGATGTATAAGAGTATAAGGTACCTATGTCATATACCTATAAACATATAGTTTATATTATTTCATCAAGAAGATCAGCTCGAATTAAACTTTTGGCGCAAAAGTATCGGCTTATACGTTTTTCGTCTTGTGCCGGTTTTTTTCGATTTTTTTGATAAACGGTAAGGTATATCAACAGACACAACGGCCACGTGAGGCAGGTGGTAAGTACGTTGCGTTATATTCACCTGTCTCTCCTATAGGTACGTCTACCTATGGGTACTTTTAAAACGTAGATATGTATATACAGGTTGATACACATCATCTGTCCAGAAATATAGATACCTAAATTTTATTAAAATAGCCAAAAGTTTGAGATTATAGGTGTGTAAATTATACTTATAAAGAAAGGGATGCAAGATTACCATATTTTTCATATTTTTCATTCAATTTTATTCGTTTTATCAAATGTTACTATATGTTACAATTTTATAGATACCTACTTAAATACCGCCTATACTTGATAGAAATATTATAGGCATCATTGCCAAAAATTTACACCGTTTGTCAAAATAAAATCAATTAAAGTTAATCTTAGGTATATTTCAATCTATACAAAAATAAAATGGGATGAAGTCTTTATATAAAAGCCTAACCTAAATATTGGAAAATTATGCAATCGACACTTATTAAAATTCCACACGCCGCGATGGGTGCTTATAATAAGCGAATCACTTAAGTTACATGCACGACAGCTCACCGGACATCCGCCAATCAAAACCGTAGAACGATCTTAACCAGACGAAACACCCAAACACCCTGTATTTATAATTTACACCTAATGCAATGTTAGAAATATACAAATATTCCTTCCTGTTAGGTCGGATCGCACGCCACCATCCCCTTTCTCTCACTTCGATTTATTCAGAAGATTTTGAATTCAATATAAAACTTATAATCTAAACTGCTCCACAAAAGTTAAGGAAATTTGCAAATTTTGCGATTATTTTAAAAGTTATACAGACTTTTTGATTAGCAAATTTTCAAATATGCGAAATTAAATGTTTTCTCCCATACCTGAGTGGATTTTTTGTCCCTACCTCTACAACTCATACTAAATTTGGCGAGCAAAAAACCTGCAACTTTTAAATTAATCTCAATATTTGTATAAACTTCCTTAACTTTTGTGGAGCAGTATATTACCTATAATAAATGACAAAAATAGAGATTTGTCTCCAAAAATACATATGGGTTATATGGATTGTTACAAAGAATGATAAATCATTAGGTATACCGTATACCTATACATAAATCGATAAATCTATAGTTTAGATTCCAAAAATTAGGTATAAATAACATGGGCGCGCGGAAGAATTATATAGGACTTGAAGAGGGTTGGACCTAACGAAAACCTAACGAAAATTCTAAATTATTTTTTAGATACAGGTATCTATGGTTTTATGATGTCTATATAATCATTCTCGGAAAATTTATACGAAATCTGCTCAGTTTAATTCGTCGACATTTATAATATCGCTGAATATCCGGTGTTAACGCAGTTTTAGCAAACTAAATATAAAATTTTTAAACTAAACAAAACTGAATAAAGGAGGGCGAACGGTTATTCGTAATTCACGTATAGTACATGTTAATACTTAGTTGGAAATTGTTTTCTCGTTCACGTGTATATTATAATATAAGGTTTTTCGAAAGGATAACCGAATATCAAACATAAAAAAATCAGTGAATTAAGTTATGTTTTATTTTAGAGGTAGGTCGGTGGAGCTTTGCTTATGGTATCTATAACTGTTATAGTTAATTTGATTATTTTAATGATTAGTGGCATTATTTAAAAGCTCCAAACATTGTTTCGCATCGCAATTAATTAGATATCTAACACATCATGCTGCACATTTAGTATAACTTATTAATATTATTTTTTCTATCCTTATCTATATATACGAAAATGTCTACTTGATGACATATTAGGTCTGAATATTGCTATAAATAGGTAATTTATTTAAATATAAAATAATTTATTCCTTGTAAAATTTAATTTAAATCAATTAAAATTGTGAAGTAACCTGAATAAATGTAACTAAGCAAATAGTTTGTCCCGAATTCGATGCGACAGTTAAGGTCAAAGGATTACTAAGGTTAATTAGAAACTTTATTACAATTTGCAATACCTATACTACTATATTTAGTAGATATATGATGGCATATTTCTGATGTAGTTTCTTTAAGATTTACATGCATATATACTGCTCCACAAAAGTTAAGGAAGTTTACAAATATTGAGGTTAATTTCAAAGTTGCAGGTTTTATGATCGCCAATTTTAGTACGAATTGTAGAGGTAGGGGCAAAAAATCCACTCAGATATGAGAGAAAACATTTAATTTCGCATATTTGAAAATTTGGTGATCAAAAAGTCTGTAACTTTTAAAATAATCGCTAAATTTGCGAACTTCCTTAACTTTTGTGGAGCAGTTTATTTAATAATTATTATTCAACAAATAATTTAAATTGGCACATTGTTCTGACTGAATTTACTTCCTAATAGATATCTACTAATGGTCTCATAAAACCTTTGATCGATAGATTGATTGTCAATTAAGTGTTTTATGTAAAAAAATAGATCCTTTAATGCTCTACTAAAAACATTTATAGTGCACAAACAATTTTCAAAGGAGTCAAAAGATCCAAAGGACGCTTCGCGGGGCGTGGTTCTCGCAGCTTCCCAATCAAACGGATCAACCGCAAAAAGAGGCGGTTCACGTACCGACCAATGCGCGCCCGGTAGGCTATCACCGTCTCGTTCTCTCTCACGTCTAATTACCATACCGCGCCACCTGTTATCCTTTACCGACGCGCGCTGGTCATCTCTCGAATTCTCGATCGAGCCGATCAATCAACCTTCGGTTCGCGAGCGCGACTTTCGTCTTCGTTTCACCTCGACCGGCTCGTTTTCTATTGGCAACCGATAGAATAGCGTTTTGTTTTAGATTTAGATTCGTGGACTATCGACTGCATGCCCGTCGTGATCGCGCTCGAATTGGATTTAATTTGCGCTCGATTGGTTCAGCTCCGGCTGGAGCCGGAAGCGGAACGCTTTAGAAACGATTATCGCGTTCTTTTTTAATCCAATTTGAAGATTATCTGGTATAAAACAGTAAATAAAACTAATAGAGGCTTGGTTCTTTACTACTGCGCCTACTACTTCTTTCCAATATGTTTCACTGAATTCACTAAATTTTTTAAATAAATATTTTATAATTCCTAAATTTTTAGTTCGAATAAACTTGTAAAAAGATGAAAATTTTGATCCATCAGAGTGTTTCAAAACTAGTATAATCGATCATGCACGCTCCAACTTCGAGGATTGAACGTGTGACAAAATATTTCTATAAAATTTTATATATAATATTTTTTTATTTCAGGAGTTTACGGTCAATTACGGAGTCCCGCGTGTCCACCGCCTTCCGATGATTTAAGGGAAGACGGTTCACCACCACCAGGAGTTCCGCCTTCTAGTTACCTCCAACAATTGCAAAGAAATCCTTCGTATCATCATGTGAAAGACGGTAGGAATCATTATATTAGTAGGAAATATTTTATTCAGTATAGAAATCCGTCAATAGATAAGTATAGGTATCTCAAGCCTACCCTTAAAATTAAAAAAATTTAGGGGTGGTAAGTCCCATACTGAGGGGGATTGCAGTTAGGGGTAAAAATTTGAAGTTACTTATACCTAAGCTCAATTTAAAAAACAAAAATTGACCTGCTACAGGGTTTCGTAACTAATAATTGTACAAATTAACTGAGAAAATTAATTTATCCATTTCATATGGTTCAATAATATAACAAATTTTTATAACAGGTTACAAAGGCACGTGTCCGCCCGGAAGCGATTCGTCAGGCGGCAATTTCGTCGCGATAGACCACAACCTACCCGCTTTGAGCAATGAGGACGGACCGCCGCTCTTCCAGGCTCACTTCGCCCCCGACGAGCACGAATATCAAGCGCTGGACACGCATCAGCAACAGTATTTAGACAATTCCCCGGAATTTTACGCCAATCACATCTTAGAACAAAAATATACGCCGCACAATTACGTTAAAAACTACGTGAGAAGTACGTATATCAACATTTCATATACAAATATGTACTTGCATTTATGTAGAAAATGTTGTATTAATTGATTTTAATGATTTCAGATACCGGTGGCAGATTCAACGACGGCTACTCGGACTCTTACGGTGCCCCCTACGACGCCGCTCCCTTCCAGACCGTCCCCAGCGGGCCGGAGCAATGGGGCGGCCACAATCACGAGCTATCCTTGGGCCATCACCCGCACACGCATCCCGCCTTTCTCTCTGGCGGCATGACCAGAGATCAACTCAACGCCATGCAGGATACGAAGCCGATGATACAAAACGGGATGATCACCGGCTATCCCGGAAATCCTGCCGCCGGCGGTCCCTGTTTTACAGGTACGTTTCAATGCGTTTTCTCCGTTTATTTTTTGTCGTTTTTGTTGGATATGAGTATTTCGAATCGAGATGTTAGGACTTTTTAATTGGTTTGGGGGAAAGTGTCTGTTTATGGGATAACCTCTTATGGGTTTTGGCTAAAATATGAGCTGCTATAATGTAGCGGCAATGTCAGAAACTTGTAGAAATGAGTAAAGCTAATATGTAACCTTCCTATATTTTAGATTTACTTTAGAGGGAGGCAACACAATATCAATTTTATTTTTTAATTTTTTTGGAATACTATATTATTATCATGATGCCACTATTCCATTTAAGGATACCTTTTTTACTTTACAAGAAATTGAGCTTTTTCTTATAAACTTACCAATTCCTTGAATTAAAACCTTATACAACAATTGTAGATAGGTATTGGTTTAAAAACCAAATTTCCAAAGATATTATTTGAAAACAAAAATTATCCCATAATATGGTACATTCTTCGACCTTCCAATAAATTAATATTGGTAGGGTATCTTATTTAATACTTTCGCTGTTACCGAGAATTAACATCCAATCTACATAAGGTGACCAGTACACCAGTGGTGAATAATATTTTTAATGATTACATCTGCATACCATTAAAACAGCGATGAAAAAACTCCAAAAATTAATTAAGCATTCAATTTTTTTTCGTTTCAATTATTTTACAACGTTTTTATGCAAAACAACTCATTTTGACGTCCATGGGAAGAATGTAAATCATTAACTATTCGAAAAGAAAACCTCAACAATGGCAAAAGAGACGTTTTGGATTTTTCTACTAAACACACACACACGCGGTATTTATGTGATACACGAAGTCATTGTTTTGGTTGACGGCCTTGGAAGAATTTATTATTAACAGTAGCTGTCTGCGAGCAGAATAATCGCTTTTAATAATACCCCCGGTAAATTGCCTCGGAACAACGCCGGTGACTGGTAATCGCGTTCTCGGTTGAATTGTTTTCGTCTGGACTTTATTAATATCATTATTATTACTCCCTATTACATCGACTACTAGAACGTAGGTACCAATAAATCTCGATTTTTGAACGAATCCACTCATCTGGCACAACTCTAATTGATACAACGTTCATTCTTGAATCCAGGTTCCGGACCGATCCAGTTGTGGCAATTCCTCTTGGAGCTGCTCACCGACAAGTCCTGTCAGGCGTTCATTTCGTGGACGGGCGACGGCTGGGAGTTCAAATTGACCGATCCGGACGAAGTGGCCAGGCGATGGGGCATCAGAAAAAACAAACCGAAAATGAACTACGAGAAGCTGTCGCGCGGTCTTCGCTACTACTACGACAAGAACATTATTCATAAGACTGCCGGCAAACGTTACGTTTACCGATTTGTTTGTGATCTGCAAACGCTCCTCGGGTAAGTGCACTTTCTTTACAACTATTACAGTAACGATACACAAAATTACACTGTGGTTTGCGTGTTGGGAAAATCCATTGAACATTGTTATGTTCGTCTAAAAATGGTAAAAAGCGATTCCTTAGCACATCCAGATACTTCCTACTGCTTTTTCGAGTGGAAGGAAAAACTCCACATTTGTGAAATGCACCTTTAACCATAAATAATAGTGGTACATTTCTGGTTTTTTTCAAAAAACATTCGAAAGATAGTACACCGGAGTCTAGTCTTTGCAATTATTTAAATAAATTTTTGGATCAGTGCACCAATTATATTCATAATTTTTATTTTTTTTAGGTACACACCCGAAGAACTACACGCAATGGTTGATCTCAAACCGGAAAAAAAAGACGACGACTGAACCACCTTCAAAAAATTGGATTAAAACTAGTTAAAAAAATTACAGAAAAATCGAAAAAAATCAAACCAACAGCGCCGATAGCCGATGCTATCGTTTGTTTCGTACGAAATTACCGTCGTATAAAAACATTTGAATATCGCGAGGGGACAATTTTTTAACGAACAAATTTATTAATGAGAACGTCAATTAATATCGAAAAAATAAATAATCCGTGCCATTAAAAATACAGTACATTTTTTAAGATAATCTATTCTCGTCGAATGTTTATCGCATCCGGTTACATTGTTTCCGATAGAAAATTATTGAAATAGGCTTTTGTAACGTCTCGGAATTTTTGAATTTTTACATAGTTTTAGGAACGATTTATTTTTTATAATTGCTATTAAATTCGAATGGATTCATAGGAAAATGAAAGCCAGTCGATTAATTATTATATTAGATACTAAATTTCATGTCTTATTTATTAACCATAATTAATTGAAGTGACATTAAGTCTGTAATTATCTGGCTTAATTTAATTAATTGTGATTCCTATAATTGCTTTCTTCAAATTTCAATTTACATAATTTAGAAGTTCAATGTAGAAAAAATTTAAAAGCTTTACAAGTGAACGAATAAAGTTGCTCGATAATTAAGTTAATGTTGCGGAATCAGAGTTCGATGGAAAAAAATTGTGCAAAATATTCGATTTTGATAAAATCCGAAAACATTTTGTCAGAAATTCGCAAAATTTTGCTCATAATCGATCTTTATGAATTATTCAGTGAAAATCGATTATCAAATTTTCTTTCAATCGGGAACTTGATTTATTTTAACATTAACTTATTATTGCAACAAACTTTATTTCGATCTATTACATTCATTTCCATTGAAAACTTTACAGAATTTTTAGAAAAACTAATAATTTGAACCTGTTATCAGTTTAAAGTTAATTAGTTTTATAAAAATTCATAACGAGTTTTAAAGTATCTCATTATAAATAGTCGACTGTTAAATTAATCGTTTCATTCCGATAAAAACGTACAAATTCGATGTCAGTGATACGGTTAATTTGAATTTTCAAAAAAGAATATTTTCCCTCCCTCCTTTTTGCTCTGCAAATCCTCAATATCGAAGATATTAATTAATCAACAAATGTGTGATTTATAAGATAATAATTAAACTTAAATATTATATTTTTTTGGTAAAAAAAGTTGTATAGTGTTTCTTCTACTCGCAAAGAAATTAGTAATCTAAAATAATTGATTAAAGGATATTCGAGAAGACCAAACACCCTGTATATACTATTACTATTGTGATAAGTTTATTAAATCAAAGTTTATATAGTGAGGAAATTGAATTTTCGCGAAGTACGTGTTGACTGTTCAAATTGTTTAATGTTTAGAAAGTTTTTTCATTTGAAATTGAACCGTTTTTCGACCGTCTCTTGACGATTGGCTAAATAGGCGAATCTTCTTCTAAATGCCATGTGTTATTTGTTATACATTTTCCTAAGGAATAAATAATCGTCACGCTAATTAGAAGTATCTTAAAGTGGGGCTAGTTTGCTCCTACCAGTTTAATAAGTGATATTTTGCAGCAAATTTCAACAAAACAAATACATATAATTTTTTGCGGTAAATTTCTCTGCAGGTATTTAATTTATTAGTTAAGTATATTCTCCCCACTTTAAGGTACTCAAAATTATTTTTATAATTCGCTCCTCTGTGGTCCAGGATTGAATCTCATCTTAACGACATGAAAATAACGACATTTCGGCATATAAGTGGTGCATTTATACGAACAAATCGTCGCTAATAATTTTAATTTTAATTGTAAGTTTGATCGAAGCCTCTCTCGTCTATTTCGCCGACCGGCTCGCGACGGTTCTTGTTGAAATTGAAATGGACGTTGTTCGAACGTCGTCCGGCAATATTTTACCCATAATTTGTTCTCCGTTTTTTCTTTTTTAAATATGTTAGTAACGTTATTTCTATAAATGTGGTCTCAAACACGACGTGCACGATTGCAAGTGAATTCGATTGCCGAAATTCAAAACGAGCGTTCTCGTCTCGTGTCTAACTTTCTACTTAAATTTTTAGTTCGACGCGAATTCACTTCGGGTCGCGCGACAATTTGCAAGTATGTTTAAGGTTTAAGTTATTTTAAAATTTTCGAACACAAGCGGTGTAAACGCAGTTGCGGGCCTCGTTATAGGGGGCCTTTCTGTGTTCTTTTTGTGTTTATTCTACATATAATTAATGTACTAAATGAGATGTTTCAATAAAATATATTGGTTTTAATTAGTGTGTTCTTTATGATGACCTATCGAAGAGAATTTAGACAAAAGAGCTCGCCTACAGCAGGTCTCATAATATAGTCAAGCTAATCGATTCTCTATGTTTCTTCTTTAATACACAGATGGAGTAACAAACACAAATAAGTATCAAGTATTCAGTAAGCCACATTTTCTCTCCAATTTATTCTAAATGTTTATTTTAGTTATCTTGTAAAATATGTTAAAATATAATTAACATAAATAAAGAATGCACGTAATAAATATCTGATCTTATCAATTCTATGTCTCAAAAATTTGGCGAGCCCGACATTTCTATGATCATTAAACAAATATTTGATTTTTAATGTTGTGGCTATTCAGCCATGATATTTTGCAACCTAAAACCTGCATAGAATTTTCCTTTCTACTAGTAGAGTAAAATTTTACAATCAAATAATAAATTTCCTGCTATTATACTATATTATATTTAAAACAGGAATTTAATAGAAACAATGTAGCCAAATTTTCCAACGAAAACAGTAAATTTAAGAACGAATTGGCAAACGTCGGTTTCGTTTGTAAAGCTCCTGTAAATTAAGTCGTATGAAGAGCGATAATTCTCGTAAAAAAGCCGAAAATTGGTGGAATTAAAAGTAGAGTTCGGTGCCTGGTACCTATTTCTGTCATCGTTCGGTGGATGGTAGAATTTATAGAGGCGATAATAGATATTTATTGTCATAATTCTTAGTATCAGGATAACTGTTCGTAAGGGCACCTAATTTTTCATTACTCAAAGAAAATAATTTAAATACAAAACAGCGTTGATTAGTGTAATTTGTAATAATTTTAGTACTGGAAAAATTTAATAATTTTGCTATCATAGACATTATTTTCATATAGCTTAATTAATTGAGCAAAAAAGACCCCATCAATATGCTGGCCTATTTTTTTAATTCTGGAATATACTTCCTGCCCAAAACATTATTTATAGAATCGGCGAAAATTAGTAAAAATATAAAATTCGAACAAACAGAAAAAAAAACACACACAACGACCCGACATTTCACAACAAACCGACAGAGAAGTAGCATGCAAGCCTCCATTATAGTATCGCAACATCGCGACAAATTTACCATCTCTTCAAATTTCATCCGAAGACAGAGTAGGGCTAAAAATAGACCAAGACTAAAGCACGAACGGCGTCCGAGACGTCGACGTTGCGACGCTAAAACTTAAGCAACAGTAGTGTTTACGTTCACGTTGAAAAAACTTTCCATAGTTTGTTCGTGAAATCCACGATTTTTTGTGTAGTAGGTTAAATACCAAGACATAACTAGCAAATATGGTGATTCGGCTCGAGATGAAGAAATTTTGACTAAATAAACATGGTGAAATTAAAAGTAGCTGTGAGGGTTCGACCTTTGTCTTTAAGGTAGGTATGACACAATGTAATTGGACTCTATACTTCGACAAATATTTAGAAATAGCTGTATGTTGAAAATTCTTATTGTCTTTATACTGGTACAATAATTAAATTACCAAATAAAAAAAGTCTTGTTGTATTGATTACAAAAATCACCCTCACTTTAGCATTCATAAAATAAAGGCACCAAAACTATTTACTAAAATTGCATTTGCATCGGGAATTGATTGTTCGCGCAAATAGCGTTTGGAACTTATTTGGTGAAATTATTTCGAATTTTTCGATACGGCGAAAATGGAAAACGATCCACCTGTCTCGCTCGAGTTAATTGGAAACGAAAACGACGATTTATTATTTTTGTGTTTCAGAGAGACGGAAATAGCATCGACGCCCGTCATTTCCGTACTCAATGAAGAGTCTTTGGAAATTACCAATGTAAAGGTAAAGAAAAATATTGGCCAACATATTCCTAAATTTAAGAATAACACATAAGAATGTATTACATGGGTATTTCTACACTCCTACATTCCTGCTATTTACCTACCTTGAGTATATTTACTACTCACTCGAGTTGCAGAGTCCATTATTTAATTCTAAACTTATGTTTGTGATCCTTACACAAGTTATAAATTTCCTTTGAAATTCTAAAATACAGCAATATTGTGGGCAGTTTTTTAATTTATTTTCAGTTGTACTGACATTCTTATTATTTTTTAACATTAGCATTTCTACCATATTTTGGTAGAGATTATTTATCAATTTGTTTCTACAAGAATTGTAGAAGATAAAAGAACTTATACATACCTATAATTGTGGTAATTACATCTCCACGCATACCACAATTTCAAATTTAATCCATGCCTACCTATCCTTCATATCTAATAATTTATTCATAAAGTCAGTGCAATTGGCGAGCATTTTCGAAAGATAAATAATTCGCTTTACGGACGAAAAAAAAAATAGTCATTTCGTAACGGCGGCGAAATTTTGCGCATTTAACTGAATCCCAAATTACTAATGAATGTCTTTGATCTAAATTTAAGATCATTTATTATTAATAGGTACCTGAAGAAAACGTGGCGGATAGCCGTGAAAGAATCAGGCGATTCACGTTCGACTATTGCTTTGATGAAAACTCTTCCCAGAATTACGTAAGTATAATTTAATTACAAAACAATTATAAATTGTAGAATGAAAACACTTGTATAAAACAATCTATTGTGGTCTCATTTATCATACCTTGGTTCAGAATACAAATAAAAGAAAAAACTTACCTTAATTTTTGTGTCGCTTTCAACTGGAATAATCTGGATTATAAAGTCTCACTAATCACTAAATTTAACACAATTAAATCGATTTTTGGTGAACTGGTGAATGAAATAATACCCGACTTATTAATTTAACTAATAATACATACATATATCATTTAACATTTCCCTTAATACATTTAATACATTCACGGTTTAACTAAATAAACAATAAATTAGTATAGTTCTATATGTCAAATATGTCAAAAACGTTAGCATAGAACAAATAAAATGGATTATTAATAATCATAGACATGAAAAGGTAAGAACCATTGGCCTGCTCTTATTAATTACAGTAACCAATCATTGTTAACCGAAAATGAAACCAGTAATTCAACAACAAATTTTAATATATTTTAATTCTTTATATTTCAAGGTATTTGAAAAAATCGAGAAAATAATAAGCGAGTCGATAAAAAAACGCAACCATTCCTGCGTTTTAGCTTACGGCCAGAGTTCTACGGGTAAAACCCACACCATGATAGGAACCAACAGCAGTCCTGGAGTTATCCCGAATTTTTGCAATAAAATTTTCGACTATCTTCGAGAATCGGCCGTTGGAGAAGAAGATTTCAGCGCTAAAGTCACGGTCAGGTAAGTAAAATATCCTCTAAATGAATCCAACAATTTGACTTCTAACTTTTTGACCGTGTAAGTGTAGTTTAGTGCTAAAGATAGAAATTGAATCACGAAGAAAAAAGCGATTATTAATTAAAATTTGCGAGTGCTCATTCCATTCACCATACATAATTACTTTGAACTTTAAATCAACATTCTTAATAAGCAAAAATCATGTCGTTTTCGATGGTTTACTCATACTTTCTTCGGTAGCAATCGCACAAAAGCGAACGCCATATCACGCGAAATCGCTGTACAAAAAGTGTTTTTTGTCGTGCCATTTTTTTCCTCTTTTTCCATTCGTTTCTGTACGTGATAACTGGGGCATTTACCTACCCCGCTTTTTATTTGCCAAATTCTTCTATCGATTCAACGACACTTTGTGCATCCAATTACGCTTATCAAGATGACGGGAATCGACTCGTGCATTTCACGGAGCGGAAAATGTAGGGAAAATGAATGTGACAGTCGGGCAGGGTGTCTTGAAACGCGCGTTTCATTCGATATCCAGTTGATGAAATCATCTGGATATAAGATGTAAATCAGGTTTGCCAATTATTTGTAAGTACTTAATATTCTTGCATATAATTTTTACTTTTTTGTGGTATCACTATTGCATGTGTGTTTTATCCTTTAGACCATTCTTCTGTTGGCAAATTTTTCTTATATACTCATAGGGATGATGTAAATATTACTTTGATAGCAAACTGCAGAGAAATCCTAGTATACTTACAACTTAATAATTGCTCTTTAACTTACCTACATAAAATCAGTAGGTAAGCAATTATAAAATTAATAGATACAATTACTAATTTAATTAACATTGTAATAGAAGAACTTCAATACCAAACTATTACCAACACAATTCTAATAATAAACCACACGTGGATATACGTATGCGTAATTCAATGTTATATACAATAATTATTGAGATTAGGATCGAATTAATTCTCCACGTAGCGAAATGATCATCATCTCCCATCTATCCATCATGCTTGGCGCAAAACCCTTTTATCATCGGCAAACACAAGTCGTTTTCACACATGCAATAGCGACGCAGAAATCCCTACTAATCCTGATTGTTTATCGACCGATGACACGGAATTTTCTTCAGTTTAATATTTAGACACTCTCGCGCCCGATTCAACCTCGAAAGTGAATCAATTATTTTGGAATTGCCCAAGTTTTATGAGAAACTTTGCTCATTCCCGCTTCCGAAGTTTCGAACACTCGGGAATTGGACTCACATTTAATATACGTACACCGATTTCATTAAAAAATACATTGACGTTGATTTATACAGGGTGTTTCTGAATGTGAGTCAATCAGTGTGTGATAAAAATCTAGAATTAAACAACATGACCTGTTGGTAGAAAATGATTAATTAATTTACCAAAACCATCACCCTGTATTAGTAAAATTTTCAATTTACTTCAATTTGTTTTTGCGTGCTCGGAACTTTTAGTTTTACTCTTTATACTTTAAGTTTTGCAGTGCTTGAATGCATGTCCAAATAAAAGTTTCGAGCACTAAACTTGGGGTAGCGAAAGCAAATAGAGATTGTCCCGCTACGTTCTTTGATTAGAAACATAAACAACTCACCAGGGAGCTTTTCATTTCGACTGCGCCACCGTTAAACTTCACCAACTTTACACCTCCACTTGGTGTGTGTTTGTGCATTTGTATTAGTTGTGAAGTAGCGGAGTCGGAGTGAACAGCACGCGAACCACCGCTTCAAAACTACTCCTATACGTTATAATTAAATAGTTATCGCGAAATTTTTCGTTCCAATCCTCCCTTAAAAAATACCTCTTCAATTTTATGAATAATCAAATTTTACTTATTACGGGATATTGGGTGGTTTTGTTCGAAATATCATTCGGAATAAAACAATATTTCCACGTAAGTGCTTTAAAGCTCCGCTTTTTAGTGTTTGTACAAATTCCTCAACATTTCTCGAATACAAGATTTCCAATTGCAATGTTGTTTGCAGCTATTTGGAAATTTATAACGAAAAAGTTCGAGATCTACTGGGCACTTGTGATGACAATAGCAAAATCCTCAGGGTTCGAGAACACCCGAAAAAGGGACCTTACGTGCCAGGTGAGGAAAAAATGTTATACTATCCCAGCAATCTAAAATATAATCTAAATCCTTTCGCTTCTTTGCTGGTGTAGCTTTAAATATTGTTTCGTGCAGGTCTTCTGGAACACCACGTATCGAATTCATCGGAGCTACTTTTCTGGCTTGAAACTGGAAATAGAAGGCGGAAAGTAGCTGCTACTCATTCCAATCAGCAATCGAGCAGGAGCCATTCTGTGTTCGTCGTTAATTGTGACGGTGTTAAACTAAATTTGATAGATTTGGCGGGTAGCGAGAGGGCAGGACGTCGTTGTTTCAATATCATCAGGTTCAAAGAGGGCTCCAACATTAATAAAAGCATCGTAGCTTTAGGAAATGTCATATCAGCTTTAGGTGAGAAAATTTTATCTGTTTCAATGTCTTTTTAACTATTTATCCTGCTCGATGCTCGAGTTATCAGTTTGTTCGCTTTCTTTCACCTTATACTGAAGGTTGGAATTATTGTGTCTACAGCATTTCAAACATCACAACAATCCAGAGGACAAAGAAGAAGATTCATTCCATACAGGGACTCGGTTCTAACATGGCTTCTGAAAGATATTTTAGGAGGAAATTCCAACACTGTTATGGTGGCAAGTAAGTAGAGATTAGTAGAAATAATTCAGTATCAATACAACTTTGTATATAAAATTTACTATCATTAACTTTTTTATATCTCTATTCCAGATTTTTTTATATTACCTATTTTTGTATTACCTAACGCATTTTTACTTGAATTCCCATTCGCATGTGCCTCTAATATTACGTTTATGTAAATTTATTAGTGGGGTTGGTGTTTCGATATAAAAGTTTATTTTTCGATTCATAAATAAATCACATAATTTATTGCTTTTTTCTGCATTCAATTTTAAAAACTACAAGCACAAAAAAGGAAGCTTCCCTACACAGTTATTATTTAAACAAAAAATAAAAATAGTAACGCAGATACTGGATGAAAATAATGTGAACGAGGATTTATTTTAAATCGTCCATTGTAGACACATTAACAAATTTACGAAATCGAGATCAAGTATCAAATTCGACTACTGAAACATGTATGTCTCTTTTCAGCCGTTTCTCCTTCCAGCGTCTGCTATAACGAGACCGTTAACACTCTGCGTTTCGGGCAACGGGCCAAGAACATCGTCTTTCGGCCAGTTACCGTCGAAGATCCCAAAGAAAAGACCATCAGAAATTTGCGTGCCGAAATATTCAGGCTAAAGGAACTCCTCAAAGATTTACAGGTATGTGATATAACAAGAATTTTTCGAGCGCACGAATTTTTTCAACAAATATTTTCTTAGTCTTTCACTAAGTTAATAAATTCTCATTTATTTTAGTTCGGAATAACCAACCAAATGAAAAATGGACCTCACAACACAGTTATCTTTTGGAACAACAATCGCAGAAACACAAACAAGACACCTCCAAACATCAACGAACCGCCAAAATTAGACGCCCCTAATAAAGATCCCCTATTCACAAAAGACGAGTTAATTCCCTTAATAGACGTGGAAACGTCCCTTGATGACCAACGAAATCCATTGGAAACCACGAAAATGAATCGCGAGAAACAAGGTAACTACAGCTCGGACGACTCCATTCAATCGTCCAAATCCATAGCTTCGAGTTCCGAAAAAGATTCCGGCCAACAAACGCCGTCAGACGATCTCAGACGGCAATCGTTGACCAAATCAAACACGTCGTTGTCCAAAACCCCGCCTAAAAGAGGCTCACTGGAGAACTTGGATGGAGCGCGCAAGAGGATGGAGAGAGCTATATCAACGGAGCAACTATCAAAGAAATTCGAATCTAAAGTCAGTTTGAACACGAAGAAACCCCGATCGCAAGTCGTAGCGGCTGTCACCAGTAGATTGTACAATAAAGCGAAGAAGAAGGACGCTTCTACGGATACAGATGATATTAATGGAGTACTCGATTTGCTAACGGAAAGCGCCAAGTCTAGACTTAGAGAAATAACGCGGAAGGCTCTTCGTGCCCATAGAATCAAACATCAGGATACGCAAACCGATTTTTTACCGGCCAGAAGGATGAAAGAGCGATCTACAGATAGCAGAGATTTGAAATTAGAGTTACTTGAAGTTAAACATTCGGAGACAATGACGATTATAGACACCCAAGACGCTTCGGTCGAGTGCACGGGATTCGTTAACATCTTCGGCGACGAAGACGCGGACAGAAACTTCTGTTTCACGAGAACTTGCGGGACGCAATTCAACAAAGACGAATCAGAGAGAAGACTGCTTTCCAAACCACAAGCCATCATGTCGTTCACCAAATACCTTAGAGAAGTCAAGGAGGAGTGCTCTAACGATGCAATATACACAAACGTCGTTAACATCAACATATCCAATCATTATTCCAAAGAAAAACTGAGCGCGAGCTCCTCATCCGACAGCTTGGATCTGATCCACGCCCAAAGCCTCGTCACCCCCGACCTGCTGAGCAACCACCCGCCTTTGGAGACCTGCTCGAAGGAGGTGCAGACTTGGTTGCAGGGCAGCGTCGTCGAATTAAACGAGAAATTCCCCTGCAGAACCACCGACTTGCCCAACGACGATTCGTTTAAAGACTTCAGCAAGGCGAAGTGCACCGTGATCCCCAATCACTTCATAGCGGTGCCTTCCGTAAAGATGCTGAAGACTCACGTGCCCGAAATCTTCGTCGCGGCGCCTCTGCACGAGGATTTTTGCGAACCTCTGCCGGAATTCGCGAGCCCCTCGGCGTTTCCCAAAATCGTCGAAAGCCAGATAGCGAAGCGAGACGATTTCGTGATAGTTACCGAACCGCCCGCGTTGGAGCCGATCGCTCTGAATCAGCTGGGCGAGGCAACCGTTCAAAACGCCTTCCGCAAGAAGATTCGAAAGAGCGGCGATATCACGCAGAGGATGGTCAGCGCCATGTCCGTTTTCCTCGAAGAGGCCGCCGATATGATGTCCAAGTTTTCCGAGAAAATAGAAACCCGACCAAACTACGAGCTAGAACTAACCGTGAACAATTTAGACGTTAAAACGCACAAAAAGAAGAAGAAAATTAGACGCGCGAGACGCTGGGACGAGGAGTACGTGTATAGCGAAAAAGGGTCGCAAACGTTGAATCCCATCAAATACTCTTGCTCCACGCAATCGGAGGCGCCGATATCTTTGCCTGTAAATAAATACGAGGAGCCCCTGAGACAGTGCTGCGCTAGTTTGGAAGCTAAAATCGGTAGAGTGTCGTGGGCGCCGTCTCTGAAAATTAGCGACGACGAAGGAGATGACACCGATGAACTCCTCTCCGAAAGCGCCCCCGTCGAAGGCAGCAGCTTGGGAAGCACCCCTCCTGCGTATTCGGATTACGGTAGTTTGCCCAAAAGGAAAAAGGTTAAATACAAGACCCTGGCGACCGCAAGTCCAAAAACGTACTTAGAGCAGCTTAGATGTTTACGGAAAAACATAGTCGAAAAATCTAGGGACAATTTCGTGTAGTCTCGTTCGTGTAGGTGTATGTCATTAACAAAAATCGCTTGATATTTTAAGGTTTTTTGTAGTTTTCGTGTTAGTTGTTTTTTACTTAATTTTAACATTTTTATAATTGAATAATTTAATGAAGTTGTTAAAAAATATAATAAAATTAAATTTGACTAACAGTCCTATTATTACATTCATTAAAAGAAGAGATATCATGTAATCTTACATTTCTTTTACCAGGTAAATCTCCCTCTCTGATGTCCGTTCAGAACAATTAAGTTTTAGTTTTATGAGCTCAGTTTCCTTCTGATCATGTACCTAATTGAATTAAATTGCATCGTTACTCTGTCCATTGGTTAATATTTTTTTCCAATCGCTCCTGTACTTCATCTACTTTGCATTTATTTATTTTGTATAACAGTAAATTTTTTCCTCGTGTGTCTGTGTATCATTAAGTCTATTACAATCTTTTTCATGAAGGAATATCTGTACAATTTCCAACTGTGTTAATCTTATTACCTGAAAACATGCGTATCAAAGCGGCTAGTAAATGAAGCAACTGCGCATTTCGTCGAAAGCTCAATTCGTTGACAGACTATTCAAAAACCACCGGATTGATTTCACGTAAAACATGAATAACAAACCATTAAAGGTTCTATTTATCATAGTGGCAATATTGTATGGTAAGTTTTAATAGTTTTACACATTCCTATATCTCTTAGTTATAATTACAAAATATTTCCAAATGTGTAAATTTTAATATAAAACACTTTCAATTTTAAGTTCAATATGAAGCTCATAAAATATATCTGTAGAGAAATAATATATGGTATATTTAAATAGAATGGTGTCATTTATAAATGCCTGTTCCATTAGATTTAATATTTTTGAATTCAAATGAGTCATATTGATTCTTTATTAGAGCGTATACACACACTTGTTGATTTGAATTATTTACGCATGAAAAACGTCCATCCCCTGCTTCTATGTTTAGCAGTGGATTTTGCTCAAAATATAAAGTATATTTAAAAAGTTTTATGAACGATATATTGAGTTTTTTCAACGGAGATATGTTTAAGGCTCATATACGTAATTTTTTACAAGGATATTATTGCAATTTTTAACCTTCTTTTCCAGCTCTTAATACGACGGAAAGCGTCCAAATAAATTATATCAAAGTTCCGCAAGCTGTGAAAAACGATTCAAACATATCAGTAATAATGGATTGCAATTACTCATTAAGACCTGATGATACAGATTTAGTAATAAAATGGTAAGCAAATTTTATCACAATGCTTATTAAGAGCGTATATTAAATTGAAGTTCTTTAAATACCCATTTGGCAATATGCCAAATAATTTGTAGGTATTTGAATGAAAACATGGTTTACCAATGGATACCGCCGAAAGCTCCACAAAGTTTCGGAGCTTTGAAAAATAAAGTAGATTTAAAGTACAAAGCGACAGATGATCCGAAAAGCGTTCACAGAGCGATGAAAATATTCAATCCCACGAATGATATCGCCGGTGAATACAAGTGCTCGGTTTATTCCTTCACTGATGAGGATTATTTCATTAAAAATATGCACGTTTTTGGTAAATAACGAGATTAAATTTACCTATATTGTCTTTAGTTACTAAATTATTGTAGTTCCGGAAAAAACATTAGAAATTTTCAAAAGTGGACACGACGAGCGTACAGTGAACTTTACTTGTTTAGCTACAGAAACCTTTCCCAAACCGAATTTACTCATGTTCAAGAGCTACAAAGATCATTATCATAGGTAATACTAGTAATTATCAGTTAAATACTTGCTGGGTTCATGAAATGTTTTTAATTGTTTAGAAAAGGATTGTCAACAGTGCAATGGGACGTTAGTAAACACAATTCAGGACGTTTCACAACTTACATTGTATCGTCTTTAAACAGGGAATATTTACAAGACGGATCGATAATTCGGTGCGAATTGAGAATTCCTGATACTGGTTATGTTAAAATGAGAAGTATTCTTTATTACTCAGAAGGTAATAACAATTACTCATCTAGTAGATAATGTTATAATTATCATTTCTGAATAATAAATAGAAAATTTTTATTTAATAAAATAAAATATAACTTTTTGTGCATTTTTAGTTGACAAGGATTCAGGTGAGTTTAGTTTGATTGAATTTAAATAAAACAAAATGGTTCAAATTCATTTCAGGTTCAACTAATAGAAGCCAATTTTTTAACGTGATTATAAAAATCATTTTCCTTCTAATCGTTAACTTTGTATTTTGTAACTTTATGTAAACTTGTAGATGTTTGTTGGTTGAATTAAACAAGAAAACAATTATGTAATTTTAAAACACTTACATTGGGATATCCTTTTCTTCCAATAAGATGGGAACTAAACTCTAAATTCATCGAGCGTGTGCAAACTCTTCCATTTTTATTAAAAAAATAAACTTGCAATCGAAATATACCTATATTAAATTTGTCCTGGCGCCAATTTGCTTCTCACAGCTTTTCCATAAGCATCGGCACCCTTCTGATTGGCTTCTGCGTAATCTGGAATGGCCAATGAACATCTGGCCATCCAGTTAAATACATTCGAGTAAGGAGATATGTCCCAACCTACAGCCTGAAAATTGAAAATTACTTTACTTAATGTTCTATAAGTATAGTAGATTCATAAATACTTAAAAGAGAACTTACCACAATGGTTGAAATAGAAGCTGCCAAGCAACAATCAGCAATAGTTAAATTTTTCCCGGTTACAAAATCGTTTCCTTCCAAAAACACATCCAAAAAACCCAAGGCTTCTTCTAATTGTGCCCTGTGTTCGTCGAATACCTCATCTTGGCCCAAGAACAATACTGGAAACTAGCAATAGAATGTTATTTGGTAATGTCTTCCATTAATTATGTTTTTACTTACACATATTTGTCTTATTCGGGGGTACATAGTGCCACAATCAAAGTACAACCTCTGGTCTACAAGAGCCTTAGCTTTAGGTTCTTGGGGATACAGGTTTTTGTCTTTCGAATAAACTGTTGCTAAGTAACATGCTATAGCATGACTGTCCCAAATCACTGTGTCCCCATCTACTAGGGTTGGAATTGTGTGTTGCGGATTAAGCTAAATGAACACAAATTTATTTTCAGTAAAGAGCTGAGTTGATAATGATAAATGTATACTTACTTTTACAAAATCTTCACTAAGTTGCTCTTTTTTAAATAAATCAACGGTTTGTATATCTATGTTTACTCCAACTGCTTTGGCAGCTAAAAGAGCCCCCCTCGAAGGCCCGCTCTTGGGAAAGTGATAAAGAGTAATACCCATATTGTTTTTGAACTAATAAATTAGTACTTAAGTACAAAAACAATTAATATGTACGAATTTGGAATTAAAAATCTACATAAGAAATGTACAACCAAATAAAATATAACATAACCTAAAACAACTATTGTATTTTCTTCTTTTAAGAATACATTAAATTGGTCTCGGCAATCTGTGCTTAACAGCGCATCCTGGGCATTGAACATTCCGATATACAATCGATTAGGTATGTTATAAGAATATTTAATAGAAACCCAAGGAATAAAAATAAAAAAATAACAATTTACGTTTCTATTAAAAATTCTAAATAATTATACAGGGTATTCCTAAACATCGTGCACATACGAAAGGGGGCAATTCTTTGGCATATTTCATGACTAAAAGTTCATATAAACATAGGTCTGCAAATGCTTCGTTACTTATCTACTGGGTGTTGAAATTTCAAGATTTTTCTGTTTTTTTCTTTATGGGTCCTGCAGTTTTGTGATTTGCCCTTTTCTCACCCTGAACTTTTTTGCTGTGTGCCGCTGGTAGATTCTGAAAAACAAAATGAATTGTTTTAGAAACTTTTTTTTGTCCGAAAAGCCCATGCAGCTGAGGCCATATACTGATGAAGAACTTATTTTATTTAGAAACTCTCAGTTTCTGTCACCGTTATCGAGAAAAAAATTAAAACGATTTTCTGTAGAAATGATTTATTTTACAATACAAACAACCTACATAATAACTATTAAACTACATTATAACAAATGTTGAAAGTGACCCCCTCCTACTCAAAAAACTGCAAGAGCTTTAAAGAAAAAAAAACAAGAAAAATCCTGAAATGTAAGCACCCTGTATATTGGTAACGAAGCATTTGACCTATGAACTTTTAGTCATAAAATAAGTCAAAGAATTTAAATACCCCCTTTCATATGTGCACGATGTTTAGGAACACCCTGTATATTTCTTAGTGTAACGCTTTGGTACTCATTAAACATTTTGTTTAACTTTGTTTATCCTTTACAACCAATGGTAGTCTTAAGTTGAGATAGTATCCCTGAAAGAGATATGTGCTAAATACGGGCTAATTGGTACATTTGGGAAGTTAACAACCAGGTTTATCATTTTTTATTAAAAATTGTGATAGTTATAATCAAAAAATGTAATACCGATTGATACAGGCAAATATGGAAAAAAATAGAGAAATGAGAAGTTTTTCTCAAAATACGATAAATAGGTACCTATCTACACGTAAAAATCTTATTTTCATCCAATTATAAAAACAAGTCGAATAATCTTAAACATTTGAAAAAAAAATAATTAAAACAGTAGAAATCAAAACTATGAAAACGGTCATCAAATATCCTGTAGCATTAGGACAAAGTTGGAAAATCGGCAGAAGAATGAATATTAAAAGTTCTCTTTGCAGGGTATTTTTTCCCTTGTAACGTGGCTTGCCTATACTGATGGTCGCTGCTACTAGTATCAGAAACGTTAATTACGTCTTCATCAAAATATGCACTTGAACTACTTGACGAAGATAACTCATTGAATGAACTATTATACGTCTTGTGCGTTTCTTTATGCGGACTACGCAGAATCGGGGGAGAGTGAGATACTGTCTTGTCGTCTTTTTCCCTCCAAGATACATCTGCATGTCGTTGTCTCCTACTCAACCGTTTATCTTTTTTCGATGCTTCTTTGCTCCTAGAATTATTGCTGTCGAGACTATTCGATTCTTTGTCATGGGACGAGGATGCATACTAAAAAATCATATATTGTATTATTACAATGAAAATACAGTCTTATTACGAAATAAAGTTTTCTTAGCCATCTTAAAATTTGAACAATGCTTGGTCTGTATGAATAAAATAAACAAGCAGTTCGACGTTGAATATCTAATGGATTTGTTGATTAATTAAATATTTTTATTATACGAGGGCGAATCAAAATATAAACCGGAATTTTCTTCTTAACGCTCTCTAGGTGAAGTCAGTAACTTGACGTCTTGATATACAGGTTGATTAATAGTAGGAATTGAAAAAAAGGGAATAAATATAAGATATCGTTTGCTCCATTTCCGATTGCAACATGGTCATTTCTATGAGTGGAACAAAGAAAGATTAATTAAATAACAGTTGTCAGAGTGAAAAGTTGCAATGACACAAATGTCATTCTTTCCTTTTCCTTTATAAGTGTCTAATGGAAGTTGTCTTTATCGCACCTATGGCCTATATAATCTATGTTGCGATCAAAATTGGAGCAACCTGTATATTCAACATTTTATTTATTAATTTACCAATAAATTTTCTAAAGCAAAATTCCGGTTCATATTTCATTGGCCCTCATAAACAGATTAAGCCGTTTTATGACGATTATGAAGATTCTGTAAAACTCACACAAAATGCAGGTGCTGAGGGGTTTAGCGAAGATTTAGCAGATTCTTTTCTTGTTTTTGCTTCCTCTCTTCCCGATTTTAGTATGGCACTCAACGGAGGAGGAACTAGATTTTTCTTCTTTGGTGAGGTATTTCTTTTTTCTAGTTTGGGCCAAACTGAATTAACAGTTAGAGGTGAACATTCCGAGGAAGAATTTACCTCGGTTAATTTAAGAACAGCCTCATTGGTTTCTTCGGAAGCATCGCAAAATTCGGAGTCCTTACTGTCCTTAGGCATTGGAGAAGAACTTTTCTTTTTGGCGTTTTGTATCCTCATTTCAATAGCTTCATTTCGGAATACGTGTCCTGAATGCTGTAATAACAAGTGTATTAATTAACTTTATCTCATATCTCATTTGTCATGTCTAAATGATCAAATGTTTGCCAATAAAACGCGTTTGAACATTAAATTTTTGTACCTTCCAACATTTGATAGACAGTAAAAGTCTTTAACAATAAATACCTCGTACCTTTTTCAATAATCTCTTTATTTCCTCTTCGTCGTCGGCGGAATAGTTAAATGGTTGGCCCGGTCTAAATATTGTAGAGACACTTCCTCGTCCTCTACCGGGACATAAATAAGTGATTCCGTCATTAGAATATTCAGGATCGGTATCGAATATGCTTACATTTCGATTGGATCTGATTCTAGCGTTGTATTGTAATATGGTGTCTGGAATCGAGCATATTTTCTCCCTGGCAGTGATACTTTCGTCAGAGAAATCATAAAAATCATCATCCGCTGAACTGTCTAGATCCACAATGGCGGAAGTCATTTTAATAAACTGAAAAGATTGTTATTATTATCTTATTGGGTTCGAATAAGTACGAACTGGTCAAAATTTAAATATTAATACATTCAGAAGGGAGGAGTATACGAATATAGGGATAATTGGATATTTTTAAAGTTTAAACATTTCAATTTGTATACACACTCGGTATACAATAAACACAGATTTAAATACATTTGACCTTGTTAGAAGCCACCCTACAAAAGTCTATTCAATTCTTCAAGCTGTTGCTGGTAAAAAATAATTTATTAGGGTCTGCATCGGCTAAGTGTTCCTTAAAGTCCTCTCACAAAGTAAGCATACAATTTTAAGATTGAAGTGTTTTAGACAAATATACTCTAAAATTTTACTTATAGATTTACTTTTAGATATCAAAAATACATTATATAAGATGTTCCATTTAAAATAGAAAGTTGTATATGTACTTCCAGAACAAACAGAAATGGTATAGTCCAAAAATTATAAAAAATGCACCTGCTGAAAAAGATTTCAATGGAGTAAATAGTTCCCACTATAGAGATAGTTTAAGTTCATAGACATACCCTGTATAGTATGTATATGGTGGTGATATTGGCTTCGGAGTAGGAGGAAGAACCTTTTTTGGGAAGTTGTTTATTGTCGGAAAGTAACGATTCGAAATAATTGTTTTGAGAGGACTCATATTGTTTGTATAGGGTCCCTAAAAGTAAAGTATTCGGTTTTCGAACGTGCCCTGTGCAACCGTTTGAAAAGTTTTTGGGGGGTAGCGCTGGCAATTAGTGGTGAATACATTGGTCAAAGAACGCCAGAAAACATTGAGATTGTGCGACGTTCTGCGACTGCAAAATCTGAGGCACTCAATGGAGGCAAGAAAATTCCTGTTTGTTCTTTGCAGCCGTCTTTGAAAACCCTCTTCACAGCGGTAATGCAAAGACCAGGGCCAGAAAACGGAAAGGAATATCGGTTTCTACAACGCGCTTCACAGCACTGAAGTAGTTGCCAATTACAAGAAAACGGTAGTTCTTGAGGCATTCAAAGGAAACCCCTCTTACTACATAAATCAAAAATTTTCACTCACCAGTCTTTTCTCTACCTTGTAGTTCTATCGGTTAGCTGAAGCTTTCCAAACTGAGAACTTACTTGGAACTCTTGATTTCTGTCGAATCCACGATTTTTATATTGTATTTTTTGAACAAAAACTAGCCCTTTTCCTTCCACTGGCTTTTAAAACCTAAAGTAGGAGTAAATTCGGCAGTGGAAGGGACTCGAGCGATTTACAGCGGATGGAAGACTCGATCGAAATCAAGGTCACGCGCAATTAGTACAATTTCGCGAAAGTTAAAAACGGTACAAAATTTTAAAAATTAACGGTACTCTTAAATAAATAAATTCATTACATCAGTCTGAAAATGTATACAGGATATGTCACGACGAACTTAAACTATCCGCATATTGGAAACTATCAGATTTAAATAAAATTTGGTATACCTACTTATGTTAGGCAATAAGACGAACATCATAAAAATATTTTGCCAGTCGTACCACATCCGGTTGTAGCGGAAGTAGGCATCAACTTTGTTATTTCAAATGGAACACCTGTAGGTATATCGATGTTTCTTTGAAAATTTATGTAAAATTTCAGGGTAATTTTGTCTAAAATAATTTTTCCAAAAATGCATACTTTATGAATTATTAATTTCTTTTTTTTTGAAAAATTTGGCCGATGCGGACCCTTAAAATTATTTTTTGCCTTAATTTGCCAGAAAATTAACCATTTCCATACATTTTGGACACTCTGTATATTGATCTGTATTCATGATCGCGCCCCACTACATTAACCTTAAACACTATTATAAAGACGCGTCTCTAAATTGACAGTTGTATATTGTTGTTATGGAGTAACTAGGGACTTTGTTTACCATACTACAAACAAATTTGCACTTTCCCACATATTATCTACACCACTGGAAATATTGCGATCTTTACTCTTTGATGAGCCTCAATTGACCTTGAGCTCTCTTAACATTTCCTCTGTTCTCTAAATTTTGCTATGGCGCAACCAACTTCTTATTTATTCCCACTGCCAAGCTACATTTGGTGAGGTTACAATTTCTGATAGCTTACATTTGATTACGCTACCGGTATAAACTGATAAGAAACTGACCACTATGACTTACGAGCTAATGGAATAAAGAAACTTTTGTTGTAAATATACATAGTTATTAAAGGTATGTTCGTCATGTTTTTGTAGAGTGCAGACAACGCAGTTACATTAAATTTAACATAAATTTAACATAAATTTAAAATAAATTTAAAATAAATTTAAAATAAATTTGGATATGGTAAACTTTTTAAAATTTTACGCCATTTGCCGCTAATAGGATCTCCAGTTATTTATTGAATCTTATTTGCACAGTAAACCTAATAGCCAACATATTATTTTACAAGATAATGTTAGAACAAATAACTACGATATCTAATTAAAAGGGCAACAATATACTAATTTATAAGACGAACATAAGAGTCTCGACCTATTCTTGTGAATGAATCTAACAGAGTGTCTGTATTTTGGATCCATTGACTTGTTCACACATTTCTTATCTTAGTATTCTCCAGAACCATCCCTTTTCAATAAGTTATGGGTTTTTAGAACAAGTCGATCGTTTTACATTTCTGTTTCACTAATAACCAGCTCGAAATTATGACGCGCTAACGGATATTTCTTTAGATATTTCTCACACCATTTCAAGCCCTTGTCATAATAAATTACTAGTTATTGCGTATACAGGGTGTTAAAAAAAGTGGCACAAAATGAAATGAGGGGTAGTATATGGTTCAAAATAAGCAGAAAAGTTTTAATAAACATGTGCCCGCAAATGAGCCGTTTGGGCTGTAGAGCAGTAGAAAGGGTGGCCACTTTTTTTAACATATGTTTTAAAGAATTTAGACGTAATAAGGAGCAATTACAACGAATTGCTCCATCCCCAATAACTGTAGTTTAAACTAAATAATAATGTAAAAATGAAGTATTAATGTTACTTTACAACCTATTGATTCTTAAGTTTTTTCTACACTTTCAAACTAGGTACTTCTTAATGTTCGCAGAGAGACGACACGTCAGGACACAATGCAACTCATTACAACTAATAATTCACTTCTAATAACTGTAGTGATTTTTATTTATTTTATATTCCAACCACAGTTTTAATTAGCGAACTTTTGATGACTCCATCAAAATTGTGTTTAGAATATTATGCTATTTCAAAGGTCAATTGCTCTTCAAGATATTAGGAAATAATTTTCAACAAATAATAAAACATGCATACCGTCCACTATTATTTAAAGTTTAAAGGTACCTATGCAAACGAAAAACCAAAGTGTGTAAGTGTATTTTTTATCATTATTATCGTTATAATATTATAGAAAATATATAAAATGTTAACCATTCTAAACATTGATAAAATAGGGATTTCAAAAGAGTAAAATAGTATATTTTAATATTTTTGTTTTACCAATTTAGTCAATACGAACATGGCACAATTTTTGCAGTACCATATTATATAAATATGAGACCATAAATAATAAATATTTCTCAACTAGAACCAGTCTGTTTTGGTTTGGTACTACTTCGAAAGTATACTTACAGGTTACAGGTTAAAACTTGTTGTTTGCTTTAACTTCTGACCAAATCCTGTACATACAAGTTTATATTGAAGAAGACTTCACTCGCTCAATAGCTATGCAATAAGCACAAAAAACAATTATTCCACAAAAAAAAATTATTTTTATAAACGTAGATAAACTAACCTACGTCTCCAAACACTAAACATCAAAATCAAAATCAAACTAACCACAAAAATACAAAAATTGAAAGGAAATGAGAAAGTGACAGATTACGCAATGCGCAAGTCAAACGAAACTCAAAGTCATTGTTGGAATGGAATATTCGGGAAAATGTAACCAATTGTGATAAAAAGACACCAAGATAACACCTCATAAAATAGGAAACATGATGAAAAAAAGAATATTCTAGTTGTGTTGTTAGAATATTTTAAATTAACTAAATAAAACAAACTAAATTAAACGTTTAGAAATGAATTAAAAATCAAAATATAATTCGTTTGGCACCAAAACCATTATTTTTCTGGTAAAAAATACATAATTTTATGTCACAAAAAACACTCATCTAATAAACGTTCTCTCTTTATCTAATAACAAATAATAGAAAAGGAAGAGCAGTAGTTTCAGATTTTCCTTGACGTTGTCAAATGAATGACATACACCAAACTTACTCACTGCTGCCAATATAATTTGAGCTTTTCCTAAAATTTCCTAAGATACTTCGGATTTGTGTATTTGTTTTTGTTTGTTTAGATTTTAAAATAATATGATAATATTAGTTTTACATACTCACTAATATAATCGAAAGCATTTTTGCGATACTGTTAATCATCGTTGGTTGTGATAAAATAAAGTATAATTTTCCCGTTTCCGACCAAAATTTGAAAAGTTGGCACTCAGATCTGGTATGTTGGCAATTTCTACACAACTTACCTTTGCGTTTCGTCTCGAATCTCGAATGTACTTCTTATATGACATACTGATGTGATTTCCGATAACAAAATAAATGTGTAAAATGAGCGTCGTAACAGTAAAACGGTTAAAGATCTACAATTTCGATCCTTGTTAAGACTAAACGCGTTCAAATACAGGCAATAAGTTAATGTTTAAGTTGCTCTCGGGATGATTGTTGTGTGTTGCGTCAGTGGTTATTTTTTCGCTACTTTTTGTTTGAAAACCAGTTGAATGGTTTATTTTGGTATTATTTGTTTCTATGAAACAATTAAAAACTTCAGGTACCAGTGTGCGAATATTGAATGGTTTTAACGGGACAGGAGGCTACTCCTAAAATTGGTAAGTTTCCAATCAACATGTAAATTATACGAAGTAATTAACATCATCAAAGCCATAAAATAATGTTAATACCACAAATTTAAGTTTATTTCGTTAGTGTAAGTGCTATTACTTATTGTTATAATAGAGTAAGTTTAAAATTTTTATTAATTTCAATTTATATAACCTCCCGCTGAGTTAATAGTTACATTACACACTTTATGGTGGCTTTCCCATAAAAATTTATGTTATTCTTTGGTATGTTTGCTGGACTAATTATTGTCTTTGTGTGGTAAATTAGTAATCAATATAAAATATCATTCTTCTTCAGAAATCTGAAATTATCAATTGTGAGTAATTATAGTGATATAAGAGAATGTACATAATTGGTTCGTTGGAATTAAATATGCATTAACTACACTTCACGTCATAAGTTGTATATCCACTAGGTAATGAATATGAATATTTTTAATAGAATTTCCAGGATTGCCGGGTATATTTCACACAATGTTGGGCAGCCCCAGCGGGTCCGGTGTGTCCACTCCCAGGGGGTTATGGCCTCTCGGGACAGTGCAAGCTCCTACTATAACTACATTTTCGAATGACGGTAAGATAACCTTATTAAAAGAATAACTCAATTGTAATATAATTACTTTAATTTAGGTTTCAACAAGTATGGAGTATATTCTCTGTTCCCGGGAGGACCTACTTTTGGCAGCACCCTATATTCCCATTCCAGTACTAGCAGTACTACAGGCCGCTTCGCTTCAGGACAGTACCAACATCCAACTGATAACATTTTCCACACGTCATATAAAGGTAGAAAAATATTATATTTATTCAATTTACTCAGAGAACACATGAAATCAAACATTTGAATCATCCAATAATAGTTTCAGATTCCTTATTTTCAACGACAAGCTACACCTTTGGAGCTCCCACGCCTCCCCCAGGATCGCCATATTCTCCTGTTCCTCTGGGGCAGTTGGAGTTATTTACTAAAGGATTAAATACAGGAATAATTCAGCCTATCGAAGGAGGAATTCTTCAAACTACGAAAAAATTGCAAGAGAAATACTGCGAAAAGTGTTGTAATTTCAAAACGCAAATCTGTAATTGTCAGGTCAGTGGATTTTAAAATATCTATGAAATTATTGCTTTGCGAAATGATAATCATGTATACTTATATTTTTGGAGTTTTTTTCATAGTTTAGATCATTACTGTTTGATTTACATTTATCAAAGGAAGCTTTATTATTATAATTGTTATTTTTTTTATTCAGGCGTCAGTTGAACACAAAGTAACCGATCCAATTCAATGTTGTACGAGAACAACTCCCATTAAATGGAACGAAATCAATCTGAAGAAGGAACCGCTAAGCCATCAAATATCAGAAATTAGCACAAACAGCGCTTCAATGATTAAATTAGAAGTTATGTCCCCGACGCAACCATCCGATATCATGGGAAATAATATTCTTAGTTTAACAGGTAAATTCACCGAAACCACTGGTAATGTGAAATTTAAATTCATTTGCTTATTAAAACTAAATAATTATAGAACCTTCTCGTTCAGAAAATACGATGACCGTTAATTCGACGACAATGACAAGTAATCAAGCAGACAGTGCCATGATACAATGTATAGATAAGACGACTGGAATCGGTGCAAGACATCTGGAGGAGACTTCGTATCTAGGATCTCCTGCCCTTTGGCAGTACTCCGGTATGTTCTTAGTGACGTCGGTTAGTAATAGAAACACTGATAAATCATATTTATACTTCAGCTCCAGTGGCACCCGTTCCAGTTGAGCCAATCGTGCCAGTGCCTGTACCTCCCTTAGTGGTTCGCGATCCCAATACAGGCGGATTATTGTTAGTGTCTACAAGTGGCTTAGGTTAGTATAGAGGTACTCGAGTGATTGCAGCATTATTTCGTTTGTGTTTTATTATAGATTCGTTACAACAAGCAGTAGTTTGGCCCGGTTATCAGCAGCACTCGTCTGTTATATTGCCGTCTTTGCCTCCTGTACCGTCACCGTCATTCCAGTTGCTCCCTTCGAACGCGTCGCATTGTTTTTCCGGAACGTCCTTCCATCAACAGACGCAGGCGCACAGCACTCGCCTGGTGGCCGTCACCACCGACAATAAGCGTAAAATACCGCTGCAGATTCCCTCGACCACGCTCATTAAAATCGAAACGGATCAGCCTAAGTCTTTGCAAACGATCAACACGACCCCGTCGAGTACAGCGACAGTTATTACGGATATGACTCCGTTAATTACCACGCACGTGATTTACCAACATCCCACTAACATTATCGTTTCTCAAAGTACTCCGTCTGAGCCTGGTTAGTACATGTTAATCGAGTTATTAGATTTTGTGCGATAATTTTAAATTGTTTCAAATTAGCTGGAACACAAACTGTGTGCAAGTCGCAGGCGACTTCGCCGGTAGCTTGTCTCACTCCTCCTCCGGAAATACAAGTGAAAGAAGTGAAATTGTCGACTGTACAAGATGCCAGCAACCAGACTGAATTAATCAGTAATGAGGAGAATTCGATGGTTGTTTCGGATATTCCAGAGAAACCGGTGTCTCCTATTAACGTACCTGAAGCTTGCGCTATAGAGAAGCCCGTGGTCGAAGAGAAGGTGGAACAACCACAAGATAGTCAAGAAACTCAGGTATTACATACGAGTTATTATATTTTCATTTAAATTACATATTGTTCAAAATTTTCAGACTGTAGAAGATCTGTCGAAACCAAAGCTCGCTCTAACAGCAGGGTTAGAATTACTATCAAACAGCATAGATCAATTTGAATCGTCTCAGAATCGTTTGGAGAATGTTCCTGACAAAGAGGAACCCAAAAATGGTACTTTGGAAGGGCTCAATTTATTATGCGCGCTTGCCGAACAAAGAATTTTGGAAGAGAAGGAAAATCCTCCTGTAGAAACTGATGCCTTGGGAAAACATAAGAAGGAAAAAAGGAAGTCCAAGAAGCATTCTTACGACGAACCCAAACGGAAGAAATTGAAGAGCGACAAACATTACGAGAAGAAGAAGCGTAAGAAAATGAAACTCCACAAATCGAAGAAAGAATGTCCGTGCCAAGGAAATTACGATTCGATTAAGATCCCTGAGAAGGATCAAGGAGTTATTGTTTCAGATAATAAAAGTTTCATGGTAGTCAATAAAGGTAACTACATACATATAAATTATTTAAAATATTATGTTTTTATTAATCGTTTTTTTTAAGATTCAGTTAAAGAATGCCTGACAGAAAATAAACATGAACAAGAAGAGAAGGAAGAGAGGGTTTCGCATTCTACACCGATCAAAAAAATCGAATTGAAGAAATCCGAGCCTAAAAAGTTCAACTATCTCAAAAAACATTTCCGATCGAAATCCGCCGATTTCGATCGCAGCATTATCGCATCGTTGAATAATAATTTCCTGCCTCTCATTAAACCGGCCATTCTAACCGAAACGCCTAAGGTGGACTTCAATTACAACACGAATAAAAATGATCCAGATGTCGCTGTTGAGAAACTGCCTTCGACGCAAAAACGAAAAGTAGGCCGTCCCAAGAAACTGATGCCATTTTCGAGCGAACAAGTCGTTACGGAAACCATAGTAGCTAAGAAACCCAAATCCAATTTCATTGGATATTTTTTCGCTGCTAAGGAAAAGTTCCGGCTCCAAAGTAAGGATAATCCCCGAGAGAACATCAACAGGTAATAATAGTTTTATGTTAATAATTTATAAACTACATGCGTAAATCCTTGTAGGTATTCGGAGGAGTCTACGTCTATTAAACGAAAGAAGACGACGGATAAGGATACTTTCTTGAGTAACTTGAAATCGTCGAAAATAAAACCTAAACTGAAAGCCGAGCCTACGTTTAAATCGCTGGACGATCGAGATTCAGCGGAGGAGCCCGATGAAAACGAACAAGACAACCGCTACTCGAATGCCGAACCTGAGAAACGGAAAATGATATTGGATAAATACGAATTGGAGCCTAAGCCATCGCCAGTTAAACACAAATGCGTCCTGACGGAAGAGCAATTGGAAGTCGACAATTTGAGGGTACTTACCGCGATGGGAGGATTGTTTTACGCTGGGCAACTCAACGCCGTCGAACCGCCCGATGTTTACTCCATCATTTTAGACGGGGAGAGAGGTAAACGACCTCACATAATGTCCAGAGAGGAGATTCTTCGAGATGCGGTAATACCTTCATTCTTTCATTATGTTAGTGTCGTTATTAATTCGTTTTTGCTTCAGATTGTGGAAGTATCGCCGAAAAACGTCGGCGAGTTGCTAGTTGGTACGCGAATCTGCGCTTATTGGAGTCAACAATACAGATGTCTTTATCCTGGAAGTATTGCCGAACCGAATTCACCCGATTCAGAAGTAGACGATAAATTCGTGCTGGTGGAATTCGATGATGGCGACAGCGGCAGGATAGATCTTAAGGATATTCGATTGTTACCTTCGGATTATCCAGTTATCGGTAGGCTACATAATAATCACAAGTTATCTCGATTACGCCAAGGAAATATTTTACAGAATACGACTTGAATCCGCTGCAGAGTCTAATGAAACGGAAAAAGAAACCGTCGAAACCCAAGGAATCTTCAGAGTGTATTGAAGATGTACACATGCCCGAACCTGAACCTCAACCCGAACCTGAACTCGAACCCGAACAACCAACTGAAATTAACATTCCGGCGGAAAAGATGGAAACCGACAATTCGAATGAAAGTGACCAACCCAAGCACTTTAAGAAGAAACTTCTGAAACGAATAAAACGCGAAAAGATGATCAAAGAGGAGAAACGGAAAAAGAAGAAGCACAAATGTTACGATAAAAAGGGCAAAGATCACAAGCATCACAAGAAGCATAGAAAACACAAAAAACACCACAATAAAAGCCGGATCGGCAATGGAGTTGCTGCAAATCATGCGACTATTACCGATGACGCTCCTGTTACTCAGAAAACGGATACCAGTGATGAAAAAGTATTATTAACAGGAAATGCAGATCTCGCTAAAGAAAATGTTAAAGACGAAAGCATTAATACCAGTATTGTAGAAATACCCGATGATTTAGTTATAGCAAGCAACGATGTTCCCAGTAAGAAGGTAAACATAATTTTACTTTATCGATTCATTTAACAATTCTATTTACTGTTATACACGCTGTATCGAATCGACTGAAAGAAAAGTTTGATGATGAGATTACACCTATTTATTTAGTATTTATAGTATTATCGTTTCTAAATATTTCCGTTCTTAAAATTGTTTATTTTTGTAGAAAACCAGTTTGAGAGATCGACAAGAATCGTGCGAAAGTCGCAGCAAAATGAGCGCCTTTTTACCGGCACGCCAGCTTTGGGGATGGGCCGGTAAGGAATACAAGCGTCAAAGAGTTAGAGGAAGATACAAGAAGTTCTTCTATCGGTCAATTCAACGGGGCAAGGAAATTATAACGGTACATACAATAAGAAATTCGTAATATGATACATGGATATAAATGGCCCGTATTCAGCGACCCTCTTTAACCTTAAAGACGCCACTTTAACTTGACTTCTTTTAAACTTCTTTTAAATTGACAGTTTTACATTGTTGTTATGGAGTAACTAGGGACTTTGTTTACGTTTAAGTGACCCACTAAAGCCATGTCTAAGTTCGATGGGAGTGCTGAATACGGGCCATTGTCTTTGAATGTAGCTGCAGTAATTACTTGGAAAAATAATTTCAACATGGTACCGTTTCGTGATTTCAGATTGGTGATGCTGCAGTGTTTTTATCAACGGGACGACCGGATCGACCGTACATTGGTAAAATCGAGGCCATGTGGGAGTTGTGCGGTACAATGATTGTTAAGGTGAAATGGTTTTACCATCCCGAGGAAACCGTAGGGTGCCCTCAAAATCTCCAATATCCCGTAAGTAAATTTAACCGACATCAGTTACCCTCTTCATGACAAATCGAATTGTCACAAACGGTTCTTTTGAGGATTAAGAATTTTTATCTATAGCAAAATAATTTATAAATTAGATTTCCCCACCATCTTCTACCCTTCTCTATTTTTGCCTATATTACCCCACTCTACACCTCCTCTATACATATACTCATACTCTACTCCTAATCTACTCATACTCTTCTTTATCTGACTTTACTCCTACTCTTCTATTACTCTACTTTCAATCTACTCCTACTACTACACTTCTTCAATGTAAACTTTTTCATTGCATTGCTTTTTAAAACAACGCCCAAATGCAATGCAGTGCAACGAACTTAAATAATCGTCTTTTGCTCTTTGTTATTTGCAGGGTGCTTTATTCGAATCTCCTCACCTTGACGAAAACGACGTGCAGACGATATCGCACAAGTGCGACGTCGTCCCTTACGATGAATACAGAAGGCGGCTCGGCGACAATCCCGATAATTACGCCACGATCTACGATAATAACGACATCTACTACTTGGCAGGCTATTACGATCCAACCACTTGCATTATGAAAATGGAACCAGGTATACCGTTTACAAAAACGAATTGATGGTGCATACCTACAAGTGAAAGAATGAATGTGCATGTAGTTTATAAATATTACGTTGGAGAATATTGTTTAAAATATTCTGCGATCGACTCATTGTTAAGTTACAAATCGTATTTTTTAGCTTGTACTTAATTTTTTTTAATAAGTTAGGTAGCGATGAAGTTGCTTCCAATTGCAGGACTATGAATTAGGGGAATAGATTTGATGTTTCTTAAAATACGTGCAATTGAAATTTCCAGTTAACTTTTAAGTTTTTTTATCCATGGACCTTTGCGTACTAATAATATGACAAAAAAGACAAATATGTATAGATTCCTCTTTTCTCCTAATTAGATATAGTTCCAGTTTCCAATAGAGCTTTTAGGACGATTGGTCGATAATGCGAGCGCTTTGATTTGAAATTTTTAACTACATTTGCTTTAAAGATACTTACATTAATCAGTTATATGTATAAAAGGCAACACATTTTAGTTGTACTCAAACTGAAGATGTTACAAGTACTTAGTGATGCTTTTAACTCAAGTGAATAATTCGATTATGTGTTTTTAATATTTATAATTTTATTTTTACCAACATCATTGCATTGTTTGTACGAAAACAATTCAGTGTGCATCAGTATTCAACGTTAAAAATTAAACTAAGCAACTTACCTTTTTTCTAACAGTATTTTATAAAAAAAAAGTTCTTCTTTATTGTTTTAATGAAATGCATTGAAATCTACATATATTTATAAATCTATAGAATTAACCGATGCAAATTGTCAACTGAAGTAATTGTAACACACTATAATTGACAGTTATTTTGAATATTTTACTATGTAAAAATTTACGCAATATCTACTAACTGCACCGATATTTCTTGTTATCGTTTTATAAAGTAAGAATTACATGAAGTTTTTCGACTAGGTGTAAGTTTGGGTTATATAGTAACCCGTATTTTAAGGATACTTTTTTGAATCCAATTTTGTACTCATTCTTGCCAATAATTTCGTGCTTGTCCGCTACTAATTTTTTTCCAATACTGAATATACCGAATTTAATCTAGTAAATACTCGAGCACAACCTACCGTAAGTTCTAATTAACATTTAAATAGAATCTAAGGCAAATACCCTTTACTTGAAAGCATTTTTTCCACAGAAGCATTAGTTTTTAAAGTATTAATATAATATATAATCATATGGGCAATATGTTTATTATTATTAGCCCTTTAAAATGAGTGATTTAAGTTATCAATGTAATCGAAATTGTTGCTTTTATATTAGCTGTATTTAAAACTCTCACTGTTTCGATAGACTTGTTCGTGGGAAGTTGGTGAAGAGTTATTTTAATCGCGTCTAAAAACGGAGTGAAAGAGAGGGAGAGCAATTAAATTTAGCACAGAGATGCCTTTTGCAATTTCTTCCAGTTATGGATTTTCGAAGACCATCAATTTGTCGTATCATTAGATATTTCGATGAATCCATAACGTAAACAATCAAATTTTTATCAAACGTTTGGACTGATATTTACATGTGAATTTGGAGGTTGTAATTTGAAAATTACAGATTTATTTTTGCTAATCGATGCATTTTGTAAAAATCGATCGATGGAATTGGCTGTAAAGGTACGGATTCAAAAAAAAACGTTATTAACTTTTATTGATTAAATACTGTCGACGTTATAATTAGTTGTTTCGTAAGAGAATTTGTCAATTACAGGCGAATTTGGAAAGTGTGGCTTAATAAGTCTGTTTCAAAACGCACTTTTGAGTGGTTTAAGACACTTCTTAATTTGTATTTTTGTTAGATACGAATACTTGTTTTGTTTCTTTTAATGTACCTATTGAACTCTTTAGATAGCCATATAGATATCGTTAGTGTTATACAGGAGAGGATACTTTTTTGTAGAAAACTGTCCTTTCAATTTAATATAGTCATAAGCATGAGTTATTTCCGAAACACATCATACATGGTGTTGGGAAATAAAAGGAATAGGGGCAGAGTGAATGCCTGTTCGGATTTTTAGCAATACAATTAAGTCAGTCCAAATCAAAAGAAAATATATAAATGTACATATTTCTTTATAGAAATCCTTGGCAATAATTTTTAAAATTGCAAATGATGACCATCAAATGTTTTGAATAGTCGTTTGTTGGCATTTAAATGTATACGGTTTATTTGTTTTAAAGAGTGCGCATATTGCATCCAATAATCTTTTTCGATATTAAAGTAGTATTATTAGAGATTAGGTCTACCATCAGTATACTTTTTTTAAATAAATTGCCGATTTATTTTTTCGAATCCAAATTAACAATAGTATAAGTACATTAGTTGTTTTATTGAAGGTATTGCGCACTCTTTGAATTTTTTATTACATATTTATTCGAAAAAAAAACTATTTATATATACAAAAAATTATAGTCGTATAAACTTAAAAGTTGATATCTATATTTTAATACTTTTTATTTTATTTTTGTACATGTAAATTTTTATTTTTAAAAATTTATTAATGTAGAATGGTGCTAACGAGAAAAATATTGCAGTGATATTAAAACACAATGTAAATAATACGCTTAGATATTTGTAAATACTTATGCTCTTTATAAATAAAAAACGTACAAAATCATATTGGATCTGTTTTATTTCCTGTTCCCGTTTGGCAATAAAATACATTTTTCTTCCGGTCTCGCTTTGATAAATAATTCAAAAAGCAGCAAGAAATAGTAGAGGTAGTAAAGTATTTTATTAGTGAAATACGACGGGGATGTATTTGTTTTGAGCAAATAAAACTTCCTGAATATTTTTATCATTTTATTTGCATGTGCGTAAAGATTAATACATTTACACGAATATACAAATATTGAATATAAAAAAGTAGACAATGAACACTGAAAATGAAATAAAATTCAATTAGGCAGATAGATTAAAAATATCACATTAATTATTCATTTTTAACGACGTCTTTCGATTTGCAGTTATTCGATTCGAATATTATAGAAACTTTAAGACAGCCAAAAGTGCACGAAAATGGATTAATTTTTTTTCTCTACTTGTAAATATTCATACCCATTTAAAAATATGAATATATGCCAATAATATACAAATCAGATATTCCGGGCACTTTTTTGCCAAAAGGTAAGCAATTATATAAAATTTTCATGGTTATTTTTAAAATATAAATTTATTTTAAATGGTGATCCATTTTCCGTTCGTGTTTATGCATATTCAAGTTTCTAGCACTTTGCGTGCATTTACTCATACATTATGCATTGCTTAGGTGTCCGTGTCCACCTATGCACACGACATTTAATGATTTTTTACTTCCTCTGGTAAAAATCATACAATTTAAAGATCTAAAAAATTAAGTATAATTAAAAAAAATACAAGATATAAGGTATTTTATACGGAACATATAATAAAAAAAGGATAGTTCTAATGAATTGTGCAATTATTATGGTAATATTTAATACATTGTTAACATAGTAGGTATTGAATCACGCAAGAAAAATGCTAATTAATTACAAATTCAATGTAATAACGATGAATGTTTTCGTAATTAATTGTAACCCAAAAGCTCCAAATTAGTTACGAATTCGAACAAACAAGATTCTCATCGATAACATTTTTATAGTGAATACATATCGCTTTCAGTGCGTGACCTAATCTCCTATATGCTTATTTGATCTAATAGTATTTATACACCTAAAATAATTAACTGATTTATTCAGGAAAAACGTCGTTAATAGCGTAACATTATTACTGATTACTTCAAAATAATAATTTAGTAGTTGCGTAGAGCAAATTCTGTTTGATTAATCCTTGCAAAATAGTTACATTTTTGGTTTTGAAAGACTTTAGTAATATAAATAGTATCGTACTTACTCAAGTGAGCATCGTTGATGCATATTTTTACCCCTAAGATTCCCTAAATTTGAAGATAGCTTCGTTTATCACAAAAGAAAATTTTCAGGATACCTATAACAGGATATTTTAGGAAAGAAATGTTAAATTAAATTATTATATTTCTTTTTATGGGTGTACTTACTTACAGATTGTTAATTTGGGGCTATTATTTATTTACCAAAAATTTGTATAGATTTTTAAACGGTCCATTATTTTTTACATAATATGCAGATTTGCACTAGTGTTGACCAAAATTTTTGCCATTTTATTAGAATTTTATTTTTTCCCTAAAATATAAAAATGTAATAAATTTTCTACTAATAAGGTGTATTTCTATCCTATTTTTTCAATTCATCGAAATTTATTAATTTGCAGAAATAATTAAAGATACCCATATCATCATGTTGTGTGGCCTTTATACTTTGAGCTTGATTACTTTACTTTCTCCCACTTTGTTTTTCTAAGAATTTCTAAACTCTTGTATAGCTCAATTTTTAAAATATTTATTTATTTAGGTAATTATACTATACATTGTAATAATAAATTTGCACAGAAGAGCATAATACTTGCAAATTCCACGATTCACTTATGTGATTTTCATTTAAGTAAAAAAGGCAATGTTTGCATAAGAACTTATAAAAGGCAACGTTCAATTTAATTTGATTTTGTTGATATACATATTTATTTAGATTAAATCTGCAAGTTTCCTAAATTTTATAGGTTTTATCTCGCTATGCTACGAGTATAACAAGAGAAAATTGGTCTTGTGCATGATATTTCGATTAAATAAGTAGTATAGTAGAAGATATCACCCCGATAAATATTTAGCACAGTTTGTGATCACGATTTATGCGCTTTATTTAAATTTATTATTAAAAAGGCAGTCTCATTCCGGCTTTATTTCAACTCATCAAGTAAGAGATCCATCTAAATCTGAACGCGGTATCTATTGAATAAATACATATGCCTATTATTGATTTGAATATTTATTAATTGTACCCCGTTTAATTAATATTCCTTTGACGCAGTTATCACAAACATTTCATACAACATATTTCAAATTGATGTAATGAAATAGAACCGGCAATATTACAAATAACCTTTGAAATACGTTTCATATAATTCGAATATTTAGTTTAAATATAGCGGTTTTTAATATTCAAGTCTCATTGACGTACAAAAATCATGATCAATATTAAAATACGTATAATACATATTGATTATTAAATCTATGAAAGTCAAGCAGTTTCGGTCGATATGTTACAAAAAGAGTAATTTAAATAAGCTTTTTTAATCACATGTAAGATTTATTACACTAGTACCTTGGTTGATTAATTGATATTTGGTATCGTGATTTATCTTTCACGAAAGAATAAAACAGCTGAAACCTGGAAAGTGGCCAATAAAAGTTGGAATGAAATCGAGTATTTGGCATATTATCAAAAAATGTTAAAGAAATGTTATCAAATTTCTTTCCTCATCTCCCAAATATGAGAAACTAAACTTCTCAACTAAACTGATCCTGAACAAACATCCACTTATGTATTTATCAATCTTGTTTATACAAGCTTAGTTCAGAATGTAAATTCGATGAAAGAATATTATTCAAAGTAAAATACTCGACCAAGAAAATGATACTAAAAAACCTGATTAGATACAAAAGCACTTTCCCGAAAAATTTTCAGTGTTCAAATAAGTTTCTATAGAAATACCTACTAGAAAATAAATTCTACTCGGCTCCGTTCCTTTATGTCGTAATGTTCGCAATTTTCCCTCTACGAAATAAGGTTGACGAACGTATTAAGCTTATTAATGAAGCAAGCAGGAGAAAACAGATAAAAATTCCCATTTTCCACTTCCTCGAGCGAATTGAATGCTTCTTTGTAACATAACGACTCCTTGGAAAATTCCAGGAAGAAATTCAAACATGATGCACTTTTATAAGAAAATTCTGTTTTGCTTTAATACTTACATCAATAAAGAATTTGTTATTGTACAGGTAGATGTAGGTAAAGCAAAAAATTTTAGTAAGTATACATAATACAAGTACAGTGTACTTAATTCAAGTCCCTTATTTTTACCTTGCAATGAAATTTTTCTCGTTACATTAACTAGCAATGAAATTTTTCTCGTTACATTAACCAGCAATGAAATTTTTCTCGTTACATTAACTACCCGAGATTGGTAGTGAAAGATATGTTGAATAGATATTACTTTTCTTATAAAAGCGCATCTCTTTTAGTACAAACATCATAAGATTTACTACTGAAAGAGAGCAATGCATCCTTTACTGAATAGCTCTTCAGAGCAGCTCGACAGTAGCTGCAAATATATTCTAATATAAAACATATTAAACTCGATAAGTACTTACTTAACATTTCAATAATAAAAGTTATAATTAAATTCAATATCTACTAAAATATTTAACGACTCGATCAGTCTTACTGCTTTCATAGCGTAGGAAAACAATTCCGACATGTCATACTTAACGATGTATTAATCTCTTTCTTCAAGACAAGTTATGGTTTTAAACACGTTGCAATGTTATTATATTATTACTTATAAATAATGAATGGAATAAAATCACAGCTTAATAGAAACTTAGTACTGCCTGGAATTAAAACTGTACTGCCTACCGTTGGCGAGGAGTTCCCGAATTTCAGTAGGAGTTCCAGGGCTTGCCGTCGTCGTCGTCGACATCGTCTCCTTATTCTCGTGATGCCGATTGTCCGCCTCCCTCTCGTTCACCTCCTCTTCGAGGATCTTCTCCAAATACGTTTCGCCGCCGTCGGACATCGGTATCTTCGTGTGCGTCGGCGGAAAATCGTTCAGTCCCCTGTTCTTGTCCTCCCTTTGCTTCTCCAGCAGCCGCTTGTGGTGCTTGGTGGCCAGACAGCCGGTCTCCACGTCCCTCTCCAACCTGTGCCCCGACCGGGACCTGACCAGCTGCCGGGCGACGTAGTCTTCCAGCTCTGTTTCCTCCTTCTTGCTCATGATGCGGTTCAAGACGATGAAGAACAGTCCCAGCGCGAGGACGAAGATGCCGGTGAGCACCAGCTCGTTCCACCAGCCTCCGCCTCGCCAGGTTACTATGTCGTCGGGCAGGAGACCTGCAAGAAGCGAGTCTAAACCGAGTGACGGGAGTGATTGGTCGGAGTACCTGATCCTATGAGGAAGCAGCCCAGCACCATGAAGCAGATGCCCAGGTGCAGCATGCCTATGGAGGTGGCGAGGGTGTTGTCGTTGGGAGGGTGGAAGCTGCTTCTTCTTTTCGGTTGCTCTATGCTATCGGTGCTGTTGGTTCTGGTCGACATTTTTCGTTCGGCTGCTCGCTTTTTGGCTTGCTCACGGTGTCGCCTTTGGCGTTTTATCGCCAAGGCGGAATGAAGGCCCGCCGAGCCGTGCATTTCGGACCAGCTGCAAAACAAAGAACATGTAAAAATTCAACATTGCAATGTCCTTGCATAATTTTTGCGACACACTACTCGATAAAATTAGTAGATCTTATCACATTTCCTGCGATGAAAGCATTTACATCAAAATAGTTTTTTTAGATTCGTTTTTGTGGTGGTGTTTATATTTGGAAACGTTCGAGGGTAGGTATATTTATTCAACGAATGGCACTTTGCCCATTTAGCTATCTAAAATCGATTAAAGCAAACTGTTAAAACGATTCATTGTGGTAACAGTAAACATTAACATTTCGGCTTTGCAGCACTAAGCACCACATTATTAACCCCAGATTCAGAGTCTATTATCTCGGAATTGAAATATAATAAGTGGGTTAATGATCCATTTGCAGCGACTACGCTCCACTCGCTGCGTTTCGATGGTAACGAAAACGGATGAAAATAAAATTTAGCAAAAATATGGGTCAATATAAATGAAAAATGCAATAGGAAAGTTGGTATTTGGTATTTGACTTGAACAGAAGGGAGAATTAATTTTCTTTTCTCGTTGAGAGCCTGCATTCTCCACTTTTATGTGCTTTTTGGATTATTAAATTCTTTTATCAAATAGAATTGTACAATTGCAGCTGCCAGTGCTTAGAATATTTGCTACCATTCTTAACTTAAGTTGCTACAAAAGTTCTACATTTTTTTATGGAACTAAACGGATATTTTTTTATTTAGGTTCTTAACTTCGAATGTGTAAAATTCCAGCTATAAATGTTTTATTTTTTATTCAGCTACATTTTCTATATTTTTTCGCGTCCCCGTTTTCACGATCTAATTTTATAGGGTTTATAAAAAAAACTGAATATCTTTCGCCATCTTCTTGGTAACAAATATTCGGCAAGTGTAGACTGGAGCAAGAAATCTTTTGGGTAAATATTACAAAATCAATAGTCGGTCTCTTTGGGGTAGAAATTGCGACTAAAACTTTATTTCTTTTCTTTGTATAATACCAACTAATAAAGTTTTATGAAGTCTTTAATATTCTTAATTTTAGTGGAATAAATCTTTCATTTCCACACCGTTTCGACACCAATTTAAGGAAATTATTAGAAAATATTCAACATTCGATTAAATCCAACTTTATTGGCAAGTATTAAGAACAATTAAATAGAACTGCTACTGGATTACAATACAGTCAGAGATATAATCCAAATTGTAATATGAATTTCTGGCTAAATCCAAATTCTGGATAATTCGAGTTAGTACTGTTGCAACTGGAAATTAAATACGCAAATTGCCTACCTGCATCGGAATTAATTAGGCAAGTTGCGAATGTCGCTTTTGAATGAAGTTTTACCAATTAGCGTTTGATCCAATATGGGAGTTCAAAGCTCTGTTGGAGATCGCTCTAAAATTCAATTTAAATTCTCATCGGCCTCGTTCACCTTTGACCTATATAGAGTTCGTTCGGGTAAACTTTGTAATGGTTCAAAAAAAGTTAATAATAAGGACAATGTTCACTACAGAATATAACATCGTGATAATCCCAAGGACGATCGATTAAATTCAAATATAGTTTTTACAGAGTTTTAAACACATGAAATAGTTCAAAATAGTTCGTAATACACAAAATTTGAGTTTATAATATTTCTTCGCTAAAATTAATACAGACTAAAAAATTAAACAATAAAAAATCTGAAAATTAAACAGACTAAAGAATTACACAATAAAGAATTCTTAATCTAACTATATTTTCAATCATGTAATCTTCTTCAACTGTTGCAAGATTTTATAAGATCAACAAGATCATCAAGATAATATTGTATCTACATTTTTTTAAATATTTTTAAATGTTGTTATGATCAAAACTATTATCAAAATGACTATCTGATGCGGAAGAACACTGAAGTTTAATTTAAAAGCTTAATGAAACTTGCAAGCGCTACTTTATCTCACAAGTTCAAAATGTTAGGGAACAAACTCGCTTTAAAGTTCATGTTACAAAATAGTCGGTTTAGGTAAACTTTATGAATTAAAACGTTGAAATTAGCCTCATTTATTATTCTTATTTGCAATCTTCTTGCCACTGGTACGGCCCGAATAATACATTATAACAGAAATGTTCCATTTCCCCGACACCGAAATGTTATCTAAGGAAAATTACACAATTTGGCAAAAAATTAAATCCATAATATCAAATACAAACGATGTACCTATACGAGTATGTTAATGTTTTTTCACTATAAAGTATGATGGCAAACGAGATGTTTTCCGTATTTATTTAAACGAGCGAAGTGTAAAATCTTTTCTATTAGGCGACAAAGGACATGGATTATCCTTTGAAATTCTCAACGTTACCATGCACTGCAACCGAACTCAATAAATCTCCTTGCTTTCAAATAAATGTTACTACTGTAGAGAATCCGATTAATATGTGTTACCGCCGATTGATGTTTTCGAATATAAAGGTAGACAATACCACCCACCAGAAAGAATTTACTATCAAATAACCTTCTTTATTTAACGATTTTTTCTGTTGTAGGAACCTGAACGATGAATAAGAAATTGGAAAAATGGCAGCTTACAAATGATATACAAGGTTTGAATAGCACAATATACACCATGTGGGTGCAAAGAGGTACAAACAACGAAATTATACGAAACGTGTAAGTTATTTAAAGAAATCGACGTTTAAATTGAATTATTTACGACACGAATTAAACTATAATTTTAGATACACAACGCTTGGTTTGAACTCTCTCTTGATACGGCCCAATTATTACATGCAAATCGTCTATTTCGATTACAAAGTGGTTAATGAATTTTCCGATGATATTTTCGATATATCGAAACTAGATAATTTTTCAGTCAAAACAACCGCATTCGTTTTTATTACTGTTAATTCGGAAAACGCCATTAGGAATATCTGGTTTGGAGCGCAAAGCTCTTCCTCGGCTCTTACAGCCACCGCATCCACCCACAACTTTAAACCTTTTGGCGAATTTATTAGACCTTAAGAGACAGATCACGTCGACGTTAAGTTCGGAAAATCCGTCGAAGAGCACAGAAAAAGCGCCGATTTCAGCCGAGGAAGGGGGACATTCCGCAAGCACGTTCAGGGAAAATCTCCGATACATCGAAGCCGTCAACAGAGAGAGCAAAGGTGAGTGCTTCCTTTGAACAATCACCTCCTTTGATGTGCTTGAATTTTTCTAGACTATACGTTAATCATTTACCTGATAAAACCGATGAAGAGATGCATATTCTTAGATAATAAAGGATCTTGAAGAATCGGAAACAATGGTGGGCTCCCTTTCTCGTATGAAAATTTAAACTCTGATGATATTCCTAATGAGGAAATTAGTGATTGTATGTCACAATAAAAATAATATGTACTCTTACTTGCAAAAAAACTTTTGCAAGTATATCCTTCTCTGACAACACAAACCAATATTGCACTGGATCAACAGATTTATAAAGACGTAGTTACATCCTCATATAAAATATTCCCATTAACTTTTACGTTCGGTTCTAATATTTCACCTAGTTTTCCTCCAATCATTCAGCCACCTCTCTCATATCGATCAGCTGTAAAATACAACATGTAATGATCACAATAAACTCTGATGGTTTTATAGACCAAGCTATGCATTTACGGCTCGCGCTATACGTTTTCGGATTTATCGCGGCATTAGAGGAAATTCTCTATTTGAAAACCGGTCAGCTGCCGATCCTTCCTGGACAAGCAGTGATGGATTGCTCTTGGGGGCGAGTTAATCCAAAACAGTGATTACAGATTTACAATTTCATCAAATTCCAGATTCGGTCACAACGGATTTAACGAAGGGAATCCTGCGGGAGCCTATCAATGGTTTGTTATACACAAGGGTGCACCGGGAAAATACCTTAGAGAGGTAATATGCGTTTTGATTTAACCATCAATTTATAAAGTATAGGTAATATGTATTTTTTCCGAACAGCAAGTGTAGAGGAGACATGTTTGGATGGGTCAATGTAACCGCAAAAGACAAAGAAGCTTTGAAATCGACCATATTCAAGGTTCTATTGAAGTTAGCGTCGACGCCAGCCAGATTTCCTTTTGTTTCTATTCTAACGAATTAACGAAGTCCATTCGGATGATAAGTGGTGGGACGTTCGAAACCCTATCCATATAGATGTTCGTTATTCTAGCTAATTAAGCTAATTTTCTAGTCGATTTGTTTCAGCAGCATCTAGCAAAAGGATTGGATAATTCTCTCACCCCTGTCGGATATATGGAACTCCAATGGATATATGTTAATGTCGAGGATTGGTAATATTTTCGGTGTTTTAACTGCTCCCAATTATCCATCATTATGTATCTAATTTTTTGAAGCTTTTAATCATTAAGTTTCGCAAAATTAACGTTATACAGTTTACCTTACATTCATTTTCTTCATTTCTTAGCATACTGATCAATTAGTACGTACTTAATGCGAGCATTTCTTGTAGAATTTTTATATTTAATTGTTTACATAATTGTTGTAAGTACCAGTACATTTTGTACTAATAGTATACAGAATATCTTTGTTTGGTGACATATTATTGTGTAAAAATTTCTTAAATTGTGTAAATAATCCATTCTGGTCCAATATCAAAAAAATCTCTAAAAAATGTATGTCTAGTCTTTATCACCGTTGTACCTTTACCAAACATTTTCGGATATAAGTAAATACGATTTCTTATTTTCGTCTCAGAAGCATTTAAGCCATTTTACCAACCTTTTTGCGACACATTAATTACATCAAATGCGGTACATTCGCAATATGAAATTAATTTGCGTAATTTTCGCAACAGGAGATTCTGCTAATGACACTAACTAAGCGATTACCATCTAAAACAAGAAGAAAACAAACCTGTTGCCTAGATACAACTGTAGCAAAGACGGCTACGCAGTACGGCGGCCGTCGTAAACATCCACCGGAACGCCGAAAATTCCGGCCGGAAGCAGCGAAACGTCGCTCCGGGTCCGCGTCCACCGTCACACCGCGAATGGGTCGCCGGATTTATTTCGGACACTGACTGATGGCTGTCGCCCGCTGGTTTCGGTCGCGTTTCTATCAAATCGAAAGGGGGTTGCTCGGCTCGACCTGTGCGGCACAATAGATACGGTTCAACTACCGGAGACGGGACAGCGTACGGCGGGGCGGGACATCTCGTATTGATCACTCCCCGGTGTTGGCCGCCCTTTCGCCTAACTACACTGGGTCATGAGCTTCGCGATTTTCGAATACCGCGAGTTTACCAATAATATAATGCCGGAATTTTCGTCAGGTTTGGCGGGGTGGTAAATTGCTAACGACTTTGACGACGGACACGATTTGGGATAGTAATTTATTTGCGCAAACTCCTGCGGGTGTACACATTCTCGCAGGATCATAATATACAGAGTGGACTTTATTACTACAAGTTGGTAGAAAATAACAGTAAAAGTTTAACGTTAAAGCACTACTTACTGAAGCGATTTAGGATCTAAACTTAAAATACATCTTCTGTAAAATTTAATAAATCCGACATATCAAATTATGGCATCTATTTACAGATTTAAATTAAAATGTGCCAAATCCAATATCTAACTAATAATGAACTTGCATAGAAAAAAAAAAAAACGAATTCCTGCGAAATATTTTCGAAGAAATTCTAAGGACTGATATGTAATTGAATTAGAATACGCTCACGAGAAGCGTAAGTACCTACTCGGCTGTTAAAGGTTGTCGTCGCGACGCTATCCGCCGTTTTCAATAAAATTAAATTGATTTTACTTCAACTTATTAGGTACGTTCGCTTTTGAGGAGTGTCAAATAATTCGAAAGGAAAATACAAACCCCACCCTTCACATATTCCTAAAATAACGCTTCGTAGTTTCGTTATTGAAACACGGTTCTTCATATTGTTTATTCAGTTAATTTAAAAAGCTGCAGTAACTCAAAATTGAGTGAAATATTTGGAGTTGTTCAGGGCGTTAATATTAGGTGTAAATTAATTTTTTAGGACAAATTAGCAGAAATGCTCTTCGAAAATTGTAATGGAAATGCTAATTTGACATGTAAAACTCTGCATTTATAACGTTCTGCATTTATTTGTGTTTTTTATTATTTAATTTTGTAGGGAAATTCATTTTTCCACTGACAGGGTCTTAAGTTGGAGAGTTACTAGGCGGATAAATAGTCCTTTTGGGACGCAGCTAAATCACTGTCATGGGTCCATAATTGACTCTTTTAAGTTGATAATTTGTGACTCTTGCGTATATATTTATTGCGTATATATATATTGTAAGTTTGACATTATTTTTTGCTAATGTTATCAATTAATTGCTTATATTTAATTTCCATTTTTTTCATCTTTTTTTTTTTGGTTTTAATAATCAATCTTCAGTAGGATCGATAGTTGTTTTTAATATGTCATAAATCAAGGCCTTCAATTACTCAATTACCTACTTAAATATTCTCCAGAAACTTTGACTTGAATCTTTTCCGACACTTCATTTTGTTCCAATCGCTTAAAATTACTCCTGAAATAAAATCGAACGCTTTTGATTACTCATTCAATCAATCTCTTTCAACCGTAAACACGGTTGATCCGTATATTCAGCGCCTCCGCACATTGTTACTATGAAGTAACTATAGATATTTTACGTTGAGACTCTTTGAACGATTGATTTGGCGTTAAAAAGGAGTGCTGAATACCAATCATTATTTTTAACTACGCTCACACTAAACCATCAAAATTGTAAAATTAACGCAATAAGTTAAAACTAATAAAATATTCAGATGAAATGCAAAAATGTTGAAGAATCGCCGACGACACTATGTTTGTTACAGACGAGGCGCAAGCCCTCTGTCGACCTCCCGGTCCAGGAGCAATTTACCGGCGCCCGGAGAACTGCTCATCCAGATTCCATTCCAATCTGATGGGTAACGGCGCTCATTCAGTGCGCCTCTAACTGCTGACGCAAGAAGATACAGCCGTTCCCTCGAATTTCCCTCGTGCTTCTCAATTCGTCACAGTTATGGTAACGTATATAAATATACAGATTATTCGTTCGTTGGCAAGCATTTATTTAATTTTATATGATAGGGATAGTACACAATAGTTTACAGTAGATTGTGTTGTGTTTTAGAAAATGAGTTGTTTTGTTTGTATCTACTTAGTAGATTTGCAAGATATTTGCAATTTTCCTTGGAGAATTTAATGAATGTTGGAGGAATGCTTACTTCGATTAAGCTTGGAGAGTGTGTAAATTTAGTTGGAATTTGGGAAATCCTGCTAGACTGGAAAATACTAAGAGATTCGTGTTTGCTTTTATTTTTATACCTATCCTCCCTCGCTCTTTTGAGATAGGAATTTGCGTAACGATCTGATCAGGGTTTTTTGGGATTCGTGCTTTTGCCTCTCTTTATTTTCTACGGTTTTCCCTTGAGACTGACAGGACAAAAGGACGAAAACTTCCATCCATTACGTAGATAACCCATTAGGAGTAAGCTTCGTAGAGCATTTGCTGGCGATTTAATCGTTAAGCTAATTAACCGGGCTAATTAAAACATTACATCGTTATACAACAATCCAATTAACAACACAATTTGACCAGATTTTCTTCCCTTTCTGCTTTAGACAATTATGTTTACTGGTAAGGTACTAGATCAAGTAGAATTAAATTACACATTAAGATTGATAAATTACTCTTTCAACCACCCACATTGATCAAGCTTTCAGGTCTTTATTAGACGGGCCGCAAAATACCAAGTTCATATATCAGTCGGTAAATTATTGCACAAAAAAACATGTCAAATACATTTATTCGCTTTTCACCCAGCAAACGTTCTGCACGGAAATCCAACCAAATTGTGTATCATCATCTTTATGCTCGCCCACGTTCGGAAATTTCAAATGGGGCTCAGAAATTCCTACGTTTTGATCCATAAATAGAGTTCAACTGGAAACTGTCGGCGCCTACCAGAATACTGATTTTAATGTAAAAAATATGTAAAAGTTTATAAACTATTCGTTTCAATTTGTATTTGTTGAAAATACTAAATTACTAATTCAGTGCTTAACCCCTTCAAATATACTTTGCACGTTTACCGAACTAAATTTTTCAAAAAAACGAGACATGAAATTTATTCTCACTCGATAACTGATCGCATATATTTCCCATGCGGATATGTATTTCCATTTCCCAATCGATTTCCATTCGAACGCATTATGAAAAATGTCACGCTTTTACTTCGGTATTATAATTTTTATTCGTTTCAAAAGTTACCTCCCGGCGAATATCGTTGATAAAAATTGATAAAACTCACCTGGAGAATATTTCCTGCATGTAAATTTTTGAATTATTAGCACACAACAAAAATTTACCTACTTGAGGTAGATAAAGTTTCACTATTTATGTCTAGGTAGATTGAAAAGGATAATTCCTGTGTAGGTATTATTTTCAACTCATTATTTTAATGAATGAAAAGATAAATTTTAAAAACATTATAAGTGGGAAATTTGTTTACATTTTAACATAATTTATTTATTCACTTTTTTTTAATTATATTTTCCGTTTTATACAAAATATTAGTATATTAGTAGGTACTTATATCTGTAATTGAGAATGTAACTATCCCGTTAACGAACATACATAATTCATGATTTTCCATTTTTTTGAAATGTACATACAAAGGACTTCTTTATTGCAGGATACCTGAGTCCCTACTCAAGATTTAAAGGACGTCTTCGCGATTCCTGTGAAACCGCCAATATGCCTGTAGGTGGTCGAGTGGCTGGGAAAGTAAGTGGAATAGTCTCCAACAATTATAACGGTAAGTGGTGAAATTAGTGCCAAGATCTTAATCAGGAAAATTTTCTCTAGCAATCTGCAGTGGTGGAAAGTAATAACTACAAAATAACTGTCAATACATTGCGTTATAGGATACTAGTTTTGCAATAATTATAATTAACATTATAAAAATGCAGATTTCTTGCAAAAGAACAATACGTTTTTCCATCGGAAAAGTTTGCTTTAGAAGTATTGTGAAAGAGAAAATTTGCACTAATGCATATTCAATTAGTTATTAGTAAACCGAGACTTTGCGAATTCTCTCGCTTAGTTTCGAAAGCGAGTCGAGCTAGCTATTACTTGCGAAAATAATAACTTTGAAATAATTTAATTTGCGAAGAGAGTCGAAGTGCTTCATTAAATCTAATTGCATGCAATCAACATTGTTAAAAATGCATAAAACCAAATCGGAAATTTATACAATGCTCAATTGAAAGACGTCAGTAATATAAATGATGAGGTAAGAAAATATTCCCCCAGCGTAACATTCTGGTGAATATCGATTTCCGATTTAAATATAGCCCTTAAGCGGAAACTCCTTGTTAGGAAATTGTCATTTCTGGATTTTTATTCTCACTAAAATCGCTTCGAAATAAACCTACAATCGTATATAAAACGCTAAAGTTTTTGCTTTTTTGTAATACGATAATTTGCATTTAAATTTGTACCAGTTTTCCATCCAATTAAATACACAATTTAATTACGAACCGACTTTCAACAAAGGACGCGTTTGTGTGTTTAATTGGAATTCACGTTGATGTTGAACCGATAATAATTAATTGACAACCTATCTGTAATTACGCGTGGTTATACTGTCCGAATTCGAACTGACATTTAATTAGGCCATAAAAATGAAGGGAAATCTCGATTATTCTATATCTTACTAAATAATTTTATCTCACTACCGTTCTTACTAATGTGAGATTTATTCAATAAATTTATAGAGTACTACTAATTAAACACAGAAATCCTTCTACTGGTGCCTGCAAAATCGAATGTACTCGCGTTGGATAAAAACTTTTCTCGTCTCCTTGCGGTGGCGTCCCGACGCCGACGGTGATGCCGCAAGTAAGCCGTTGATAATGGAAGAAAAACGGTTTGCAAGGCGACATATTAAAAGGGTAGTGATAATTTCACTGTCGCAATAAAACGGATTTTTATTGCAGTTTTCGGCACGGCGGTTTAGGAGTCCCCAGTGTTTTATTGGGAGTTTTATTAATTTCTTTTGCAACGTGTCGAGGATTTTGCGAGGAAAGAAAAATGTGGTATTTTATATTCATTCAAATAGCACTATGTGACAGTACGTTATTATTTTTGCTTTGTATATAACAAACCAGAAAAATTGTATCAAATAGGAGAGATTGATTTCTGGAGTGAAAAGCGGATTTAATACAGGAAATGCCATGAAGGCGTGTAAAAGCCCGCATTTCAGTTGCCAGCTTCCTTTGATACATATATGTTTCGGTATTTAATATTGTTGTATCCAAACATTTACTGTGAATGTTTTTTGCAAATATTTCCTGTCGCATTAGAGATAATGGGTGTCATTTTAAAAACTTGTTTCGTAATGTTTCATACATTTTTCATAAGCCTTGAATATTAACCTCATGAAAAATAACTGGATATGTGTATAATTTAAATACTAAAAGGCTGTATTTATAAAAAGAAGCAAAACCCTTTGCTTTATTCAAAAAATAGCGGAATTGAATTGAAGCGAAGGAAGAGAGGTTTTGCTTCGAGGACCCTGCTGTTGCTTTAAAGAAAAAGGTATTTCTCTTATCTTTTGCTTCTACCTTTTACATTAAAGTAAATGTTTCATTTTTATAAATGAAAGAAAAGAATTAATGAAAAATAAGTTGATTATTTAATCTAAATAATTCTCAATAACTAGCTTGTTTTATAGAGTACCTCAAAATTGTCTTCTACGAGAACATTGTTTCTAATTCAACAACAAAATACCAATTTATAACCCTTTAATAGAAAGTACAATGAATACCCATTAAATTGCAGCATTCGAACGACCCTTTTTTATGGGTTTGTTTACTCTATTGCAGGTCGATCGTACCAAGGAATCAATGAAGAGATAATATGGGTCAGCATTGGAATGGGTGTGGCCATTGCAGTGCTTATTACCATAGCATTGTGCTATATAATGAGGGAGAAATTCAAAGAAAGGAGGGAATATTACATCACTGCATGACTTGTTGTGCCAAAGAGAAACCTAATAGACTCATCCAAAGAGGTGTTGTATATACCTATATATTTTTTTCATGTATAAAATTGTATTTCGTTTATTTTGCTTTCAGTGCTACACGTAAGATGTTATTTCCTGCGAACATGTCGACCGTAGCTTCGAGCTCTTTACTCTCTTCGGTTCCTATTTTCGGCTACACAAACTCGAAAAATATATTTTGTTTCTTCTACAAACAAGAGTTACTTTTTATATACAGTTATATGTATATTAGGCACCTAACTAAAGGGGTCAATATGTTTTTGTAATATAATTCATGCATATGTTTTATTTATTATTAAAAGTATAATCCACAAGTCCTAAAGATAAACTATTTACGTAAAATATATTGTTAAATACTTTACAAATTTGTTATGTAGATCTAAATTAAAACTCGCACACGATTTTTCCATGAAATTATGTATGTATGTACTACTAGGAATTGTAGCAAATAATTTGAATTAAATTTTATGTAGAATCTGTGCGAGTTATTGTCCTTCCAATAGATGACTGTAACTAAAATACATTGTCTGTTATATTCAGGTATCTTTAATGTACAGTATCCGTTTTCTATAAAAAAGTATCTTCAAAACGCAATTTTAACTTACTCATTGTCAGTTGAAAATGTAGTTGTAGTATTTTAATACTTTCTTGATGAATGAACAGGTTAACTGTATATAGGAAAATAGGGTATACGGCCTAGAGTGTTTTAGAATAAACTTGTCCTTTATCTGTGGACCAATATTTAACCGAAAATATATTTACTGTCAATTTGAACATTTTATATTACTAGGATCTAGCTGAATAAACTTGATTAAATTCCTCTCGTTTGATCCCTTTAATAAATTGAGTGTATTAGTAAAATGTAGTATTGGTAAAATAAAAAAAACTAGAACAAAAATTATGATGGAACAATAAACTTTCAGTTCAGTAATAAGAAGTGAATATACAATAAGTACAAAATTTGAAAATATTTTGTTGAATCTAGTTAAACCATCTTCTATTATATGAAATTAATTAAACATTAATTTTCTAATTATGAATATTATAAAACGTAATAATAATAAATTTGAATAAAAGACTGCAAAAAAATATTTCATTGCACTTTCACACAATTCAGCTAAGGTCACTTTTCTTTTTTTATATGTATAAGTAGATATTATAATAAATGTTAAAATTATTGATGTATCAATTGATTCATTATTATTTATTACAGTTTCCCACACTACGAATTTTAAAGGAACTAAAATAAATCTCCTAATTTCTGTTTTTATACGATTTAATCAATATTTAACTAACTTCTCTAAGCTTTATCGAAATATACCTAGATGGAATATCATCAGTAAATTTAACATACATTTTAAAATATTTATTCATATATTAAGATACCTAAGTGTTGTTATTTAGATAAAATTCTGTGTACTTGTTTGCCAGAAAAGTAATAATACACGTTTTAGTGAATCAGAGTTTTATTGCATTCTTTCTCAAACTATCTACTACAGTAAATTGTGCTTTATTGAGTTGAGCTTCGAGTCTCTTGTTTATTTAATTTTGTTTGAAAGAGGTGCAAAGCTAGTATTGGAAATCTATAATTTCTCTGCCAGCTCTCTTGGCAGCGCATCCAAACAAAGTTATTGTTGGCATGGAAATGCCAAGAGTTTAAACTAGAAATCCAGAGTGATATCTTTTATTTGTAAGTCGCTTTAATGAAAAGAGCTTTCAACAAGAAACGGGCATTGATGCTCTTTCTCTTCTTTAGATTCGACTTTCCTCTAATTGTCAATCCACCAGTTCATTTGAGTTCTTTGTTGTATGAGAGCATATTTACTTTTATTGAATTAATGATGTGGTTAAAATTTAATATATCGCTAATAGATAATGCGGATGTTGTAAATAAATAAAAGTATAGTAATTTTAATGGTATAATTTCGCTATCCTATTAGAGCCGATAATAACAACATTTTAATGACCTTCCTATTATCAAACTATGTCACCATTATCAGAAACAAGACTCTGTTACAAACATATACAGCATTATTTTCTATATGTATAACAGTTCGGTGTCGGAGTGGCTCTTTTGGAAGGAAAAATATTGAGGTACTTATAGAAAAGTTAATTACAGGAAATAATTACAATAAAATTATCTATTGGTATCAAAAAAATAGAAACTTACTCAAATTAACTGTAAAACAAGAAGCTTTTGAGAAATTTATACAGAAGAAAAAGGTTACAAACGAACTACTATTAAAAAATACGGGAAAAAGTAAAGTAATCCATTTTTATTGAAATATAAATGTCCATTCATTAATCCACAAGAACCTGATCGTTTAACAATCATTGAGATAAAACAGAAGTTGTACGAGTGCAATCTGTGGATTTAGTAGTAAGGTCAAGAAAAAATAAGATTACTTTGCGACAAATTTTATTGAATTAACGTGACTTCGTGACTTTTATGAAAGAATGTAAGGATTTTTGTACGATATTTCTAATGTAAAACAAAATAAGAATGTATAGTTATTATATTATGACGGTTTTTTGAAAAAATGTAACGGAAAAAAACTAAATATAATCTCATTTACCTAATAGAGTGGAAAACTTCTCATGTAAATTTTAATTATTTTATGACAGCTTATACCAGGTTTAAATTAACTCGTCAATGAAGCTTAGGTAATAAAACGTCATTAAATATTTAATATTGACAAGTCTGTTGCAAGCAGAAAGTCAAAATGACGTTGATTGCATCGAAACTTCTGGTGCATAATAAACGAAAAAAAGGAAAGGTAATTTTTATGCTCGGAAAAATCGACCATCGAATATGCGCTCGCAATTCAATCTAAATACCCAAAGACCGTGATGGAGATTTTTATCGAGTTTAATTAAGATTACACAAAGTGCGAATTTATTGCGGCTTACGACATTAAAGCGTTTTTTTCTATTTCAGTTCCTCGAAGAATGAACCGTAAAGCTATCGATTGCGGGACGAAAACATGCGCTCTGAATCGCCCAGTCCTGCATCGAACTCCAGTATTTACCATGAGGATGTAATAACAAGAACCGACTGCCGTGAAGCGCGGAATAACTACGAGAAAGTGTCGAATTACGAGAAATTTAAGTTAGTTGTGAATTAGACGTTAATATGGAACGAGATTAAGCGCAAGTGTTTAAAGTTTCTTTCATACGTTTCGAAAATATGGGCAATCTGCAGAGCGATCAGAAATCGTCCAAAACCAAACATAAAACTAAAGTGAAATTAGGTGGCAAGAAAAAGGGCAAAGTCGATGATAGTTTCGTGTCCATCGTGCCCGATGGAGATGAAGAAACCGCCGCATCTACAATACCCACCTACACGCCCGAAACTCCTCAAACCACCAGCAGAATTCTACCGGATACCGAACCATTAATCGATTCAATTAGCAAAATTACTGATGTCGTCGACCAAAATAAAATCGCCACACCTCAGTCCAGCTCGGAATCGTACTTCACCGATCCCCAAACTCCCGTCGGGGTTTCCACCCAAAACGGGAAGGTCGCCAACGAATCCCATTCGCAGGAGAACTTCCTCCACAACTTGGCTCTAAACAGCTTCAAACTCAACGAGTACAGAGTCCGGGTCGAAGAGGAGAAAACGAAGAAACTGAGCAAACTTGGGGTGTCGAAGACCAGCCAGATAAGTTTAGATAGCGATCCCAACGAATGCTTCGTTACCGAAAACGTCGAAATCGTCAGTCAAGCTCAAGACGATGTCGATGGGGAAAGTCTTTGTAAGAGCGAGCACGTGGCGAAGAGACCGCAAGCGCTGCATGATGGTAACAAAGACGAAGGGATGCTTACAAAAGTAATGTCAGATGTAAGTTTAAATCACGGTAAGTCGTTATGAAACAATTTGCAGATTGATTTTATCAATTTTTGATGATACCAATGAGTTAGAAAGTATCATATTAATTTACAGAATGGTATCATTTTTTGCACTGGTAAATAATAAATCCTAATATTATCTATTTAATTATTATTTTGTGAGTTCCGCATTGCAAATAACAAGTGGGAATGTGTTGTAGGTATACCGGAATACAGAAGGAATATGTCGGTTCCTGTCGACATATCCGAGGTTGCCGAAGAAGGAACTAAATTGAAGAAAGTCGGATCTTTTTCCTTGAGTCGGACGGAACTGGAAGAAAAAATATCTAAACCTAAATTCGTGCCAGAAAAGCTTGACTTTCAGCTTTACGAAAAATTTGAAGGTAAGATAACATGATCGATATTATCTTCACTTTTTATTATTATATTATTGTTTCATTCACCTTTGTTGATATCTAACAAATGTAAAATTAAGCCCGCTGCATATTATTCCCTATAGTTTTTGAATTTCTGACGAATTTTAATTTACATCGCTTAATTTCTGTACTATGTTCTAAACTCAAACTACCAACTGTAACTAATTACTATCGTAAAGTGTCTAACAATATCTTAATCTTATCTATAAAAAAGATTTGAACAAATGATATATACCTAAATTTTAGAAATTACAGGCTCATAGTCTATTATAAACCCTAATCAGTAAACACATGCTTCAATATTCGTTTAATTTTTTTCCGTAAACCTCAAAAATGATTGTGAAAAACGTTAAAAAAAAGATGATAAAAAAAAAAGAAAATATTAAGTCAGGTACGTAATACATACATAATATTCGTATTTTTTAATTGTTTGCGGATGATCAGCTTGATAGATGTTTAATGCGTATCCATATACCACTCTCATAAGAGATGCTCAATCGAGATATTTTTTATTGAAAATATTGATATTATTGGTAATAATCGTGCTAAAAACGTTTTGATTTTGACATTTCTGAATCTCATTCATCTTATAAGAAAAGAGATGCTTTTAATCTTATATCATTAATGATGCAGATAAAAATGATATTGATAACAGATCTATTTCTTATAGCAAATTTCTTTAATACCACCCATTCAATTTTAAGTAATAGAGGCTAACATAATGAAGAAACCGCGGAAAACATTAAACACATTTCTAATTCATACTTTTTCCTATTAATTGAATCACCCTGGTAAAAGGTAATTCCCTGGTAATTCAATCACATTCAATCAACTCAATGTACATTCCTACCTTCAAATTAAAATAACAATTATAAGCAGTATTTCTTGTTTTTTTTTTAAATTTATCGTTTACTGGAGTAAATTGTAGGTTTGTACATCAATCGATTTGTTTTATTAAAGCAAAGTTCAATTTTGTGTTATTTACATGTACATATATTCGTTGCAGGATATATGCTGATTAACTGGTGTCTCTCCGAATTGACTGGTAAAAATTATGTTATGCAAATTAGCAAACACGATTTGAATTTGTTGCTGGTGCAATTTTTTACGAATCTTTTGGCTGCTGGTGTGTTGAAACAACTCCCAGATAAAGACGTTCCCGCCTATAATATTTTTAAGGTTAGTTAATTTTTTTATTATCAATTCATCCATTTAAGAATTTCTGTTAAGAACTGCTAATGGATGATTGTTTTTAGCCAGATTGTATTTACCTCTGGACGCATTCCGAGGCACCGACAGCCGTTCCTCAAACTCCTGGGCGAATAAGCATGCTGTCCTGGCCTCCGATGTCGCCCTCCGAAAATTTATTTTCCCCTTCGGACAACGAACAATTTTCGACCGCTTCTCCGCAAGTCGAAGTCGTATTGAAACCGCAGGAGCTCAGGAATTCGGCCAGGGACGTGGAGATACTGGCGTTGGAAGACGAAATTAAACGGCTGAAACAAGAAATCGAGAAATACAAAACGCTAGTGGAGATACAGACGTTGACCAAAAACGCCGTGATAGATTTCAGCTCACCTGTCCAGTCTCCTATCAAGGAAGATAAGCCTTTCGAAAAACCCGCTGGAGGCGTAGATGCATCTGTCCAAACTGAACCACAAATTGATAAAGTAGAATCAATTTCAAAATCAACGTCATGTGACGAGACCTGTTTGGAGCCTCTACAAAAAGTTGCAACTATAGAAGAATTATCTATAGCACAAGACTCATCTTCGCACATTACTGCAGCACCTGCACCACCTCCACCGCCTATGCCACCGTCACCTACGCCTGTCGCAGCTCCACCACCTCCTCCGATGCCTACTACTATTCCTTCACCACCACCACCACCACCTCCACCATCCATGCCTGGTATACCGCCTCCACCTCCTCCTCCTCCTCCTATGTCTGGTATGGGACCACCTCCACCGCCTATGCCCAGTATGGCACCTCCACCACCGCCTCCACCTCCACCTTTGCTCGGTACGGCACCTCCACCTCCACCTTTACCCGGCATGGCTCCACCACCGCCACCGATGGCTGGTGCACCGCCTCCTCCACCACTTATGCCTGGTATGCCGCCACCACCGCCGATGCCTGGAAAATCTGGAGCGTCAACTCCGGGACCTGTGCCGCTTCCGCCGCCTCCAGCAGGTGGATGGTCGACGCAAAAAGCAGGTGAATAGATTTAACAAAATGAATTTAATAGTTGGGCAATGTTTCCAAATAATGAAGAGATGTTCGTGGATATTATTTTTCATGTTAGCTGTTGCACATAAAAAAACGTATCAGCTTTGGAGCTAAGGCATCTTTTTGTTAAAATTATTAGTTTCTGTTTTTCAATGGCATGTAATTAAGAATTCTCTTCAACACATTCGTAGAGAGATTTGAGAATTGGCGTATTTTTAATAAATTTTTCGCCAAAATACTTAGAGTAAAGGTTATAACGTTTGTAAAAATGTTAAATGAGTACGTTTGTGTTGGTAGAGTAGGATCAGTTATCATTTGAATGACGGATTAGATTTAGAGATAACAGTAAAAATAACGATGAAAAATGAGAATTTTATGAAAAACACATTAAAATCCACTATTTCAATGTAGACTTGATAAATGATTGATTGACTAATTACAACAGATAAATTGAGTATTAGGTATTGCGTCGTGCTTAATGTCACGTTTCACATTATACATTGTATTCAAAAAAATTAATTTTTCCAAATCATGCAAAGAAAGTCAATTTAGATTTTACTTACTTTTTCTTGGTCTACCTTTCAATCTAATCCAAATATTTGATATAATTTAGTGTACCATTCCTTAATAAATTGATGATAAATGTTCAACAAAAAAAACCGTCAAGTTCCTGATGAAGTGTACACTCTAAATTACTTTTAATTGCCGTAAATGTAAATAAATAAACACTTATGTACCTAAATCTTGACAAAACTATAACTTTTAGTGCCTATTTTATCTCAAAATTTCTATGGCAACATGGTGATTTTTTTTTGTTGAATCATCAATAATAATTTCTATTGGGGAATTGTTTAAATAAACAATTAGTAGATTTATTAATGATTCTCCATCAGCACAACAATTCGAAGCATCTCTCTCGTCTATGCGATGTGTAGTTCTTAAAAGTAATGTCGATCACAATTTCATTTATGTTGGTTTTATATTTTGTTAAGTTGTAGTACAGAGAATGCATCAATACCTTTATGTTTAAATAGAGATTCCACTGGCTCCGTTTAACTTAGGTAAGATATGCCACTTTTATTTCCACTATTTTATTGTATCGCTCCCTTGCTTCGATTTCCACTATTAACTAGCATAAACTAATTAATAACGTCTCAAACGAGTTGTTTTTGTTGAGATATTTTGGGTCAATTTGTGCAGGCAAGTACTAAAATAATACACAGTTCCACACCTCTCTTAAAACCCATTTTATAGCACGCTTAACCGCTGAACTGGATTCGTACTGTTCGAGTATAATCAACGGCAAATATTCTTTGCAGCTTTAAACAAAGCACCGATAACCCCCAAAGTGCCAATGAAGCCCTTGTATTGGACCAGAATCGTAGCGCATCAGGTAGAAGTCGACTCCAGCCAGCAGCCCAACGCTCTGTGGAAAGAACTGAGTGAAATCCCCATCAACGACATACCGGATTTTACTGATCTGTTTTCGAGGCAAGTGGTTACCAAGAAGCCGACGATCAAGAAGAAGGAGCAAACCAACAAAGTGGCGGCTGTCAAGTTATTGGATAGCAAACGATCGCAAAACGTTGGGATATTAGCGCAAAGTCTAAGAGCCGATGTGCAGGAAATAGAGCACGCCATTTACAATTGTGATACGTCGGTTATTGGTTTGGAGGCTCTACAACAAATTTACGAAGTGGTACGGTTTAACTTTTATTATTACAGATTATTTATTTATTACAAATTGTTTAAAGTGCAGCTGTGAAGTAAAATAAGTAAAGAATAAAATTAGAGACAATAGAAGAGTAAATGTGATAGGAAATGTTTCAATTAGTTTTATGTGGAATAACGTAACAGAAACCAGAAAAGAAGACTCACTTGTAACATTTTGCTCTATTCTGAAAGTACGATTTATACATTTCTATTGAAACTTTCATGTTTTAGAGAGCTACCGATGAAGAATTAGAAACAATAAAGGCGCACATGGAATTGTCACCGAATATTCCACTGGACAAACCTGAACAATTTTTATACGAGCTATCGGAAATATCAAATTTCGCTGATCGGATATCCTGTTTGATGTTTCAAGTGGAATTCGACGATTCCATCAACACCATCGGACACACTTTGACGAACATCAAGACCACGTGCGATGTAAGTATAATACCAACATGAAGAGAAAAATTTCAGAGTCTTTAGCAGGCAGTTTTGTTTATTGAATACAAACATTAACAAGATTTTTGGTTACAGTTTCTGATCAATAATACCGAACTGAAGGAAGTGATGGCGATCATCCTGACGTTGGGAAATTACATGAACGGCGGCAACATGGCAAGAGGTCAAGCGGACGGGTTCGGTCTGGAAATCTTGTCGAAATTAAAAGACGTGAAATCGAACGATTCGAAAATTACATTGCTCCATTATGTCGTTCAAGTTTACATGAGAAAGATCACCAATCCCCTCGAAGAGAAAATTCCTTTGCCCGTTCCGGAACCTGGCGACATCAGGAGAGCCGCTTCCGTTGATTTCGACGATCTAAGGGCCGACTTGAGGAAACTCCAGAAGCAGTTAGAAGGTAACTTATCCTATAGATTACTCTTATATTTATTAAATTATGGGTCTCTATAAGGTTGCGAACGCAAATCGCAGAAAATTTTCGAATCTTCAACGCCGGAAAACCTCCAACCGTTCAAGGATAAAATGACCGTGTTTGTGGAACAATCGAAGAAGCAGATGGCCTCGGAGAAGGAGAATCTGGAAGAGTGCCACAAACAGTTTGTGTCCACCATGAAATTCTATTTGTTCAAGCCGAAGAAAGGAACGTTGGAGACATTCTCGCCCAATCTTTTCTTCGAATTCTGGTTGCCTTTCTGCGACGATTTCAAGAATATATTCAAAAAGGAGCTCATACGAATGGAAAAAGAAAAGTAGGCACAAATGTTTAATATCATAGCTGTCATAAATAGTCTGACTCATCGCTAATATCAACTAGACTATAAAATTGTCTTTGGTGTTATTTACAAAATGATTTGTTTGTAGGATTCAAGAAATTAAGAGAAAAGAAAGCGAAAGAATGTCAGGGGTAAAAACAATAAAAGAGAGAGAGAATGGACTGAAAGCGAAAATACGAAAAGTTAAACAGAAGCTTCAAACCAACATGTGATTACCTATTAGTTTTTGTTGTATTTATTTTGTTTTCGAATATTTTACTCGAGAGCATATTGTTACGATATTTTAAGAAGTTTAATATTAAGTAAATAAATATATTTTTTTAAGTTTTGGCACTTTTTATTAAGTTACAATTAAAATTTATTTTAAAAAATAATGCCACCATATTTTATTTATAGGATTATTTTTGCTACAAATAATATTTAATTTAAAGACAAATGTTTCGAATAATTTAAGGACCGCAATCCGGTTTACATGGCAATTCTAAAGGAAACGTCCCATCCTTAATCTGTTGGTCCCAACGTTTTATCCATGCATTCGGGCAAATGGTTTGGAATAATTTCTTAAATTCATCGCATAATTTATTCCTGAAAGAAACAAATCATAAAAAAATATTAAGTGACTCTTCGATTAAATTAAACTCTAGTTTAACCAAATCTAAATTGTTGTTTTAACATCAATGAAAATTAATCTTTTATCTTTCGTGCAATGTTTACATATCGTCATGCGCATATATTTATCAAAGAGGCGTGTTTATTTACACAAAATTCCTGTTAACAATAGAGTCTATAGTTCATGTGTCCCTGCTTCGGAGATAATGGAGTAATAACCTTCTTTCTATCACCAGAAATATGTCATGTGGGGAAAATGTTCAGAAGGGATATACTGATATTTCTTATAAGGAAATCTAACACTACAACATACAAATAAGTAGGTAATACGAGATATAAATAACAAATTCACGAGGGATAAGCTAAGCTTAAAAATTCATCAGAAAATATCGAAAATATCTTAGGTGAATTTCGATGTGATCTGTCTGTAGACATGCGTCTCATATTGATAACTTTCGAGTGCTTCGATCTCGGAAAATTACCCCAAATAAAGAAATTGCGTATCAAACAGGTCGGGAGAAGAGTGGGATGGGAGAAAATCGATGGGATCAGGGGATGCTGTCGGGGAACAAAGAAGAGTACAAAGGATAGCAGCGTGTGCAACGTGAGGTTAGAGGGAAATTTTGAATTCTTGTGAATAGTGGAATTTAACCAGAAACAGTGTAAGTTGAGCGTTGAGGTGAGAATTCTTTTGTATGTCTGTGCTTATACATCGGGTTTGCTTTCTGTCTGAATGTATGTAATTACGTTTGGATGATTGCGCAAAATTGGAAAACATTACAAAATTACCAGCAAACTCCACATTTTTATACAAATAGAATAGGTAACTTTCTCGTTTTATCAACTACCTTGCATAATACCAATACTTCGCATTTTTAGTACAGATTACAGCTAAATTCAGCTAAATTTGCCGATGCACCGAAGTTACTGATTAAATTATAAATAAATTAAAAATCGTAATTTTATTTAATCCCTCTCCTATTAAATACTAAAAATTATGGAATCATTCCGTTACAAAAATACTTACGTGTAGAATACAAAAGGTGCAAACATTTTAAAAGCTATGAATGGTTTTCATACTCACTCATCTCCTAAGAGCCTTGAACATTTTTGGAAATCTACGTAAGCATCGAAACACCAAGCTGTACTGTTCTGATTGGGATACCTGGGATCTGGGGGCACAGTCTGTAATGTTAGTTCTTTTTCACCCTCACTCATTGATTTGGTTGGAATTCACTTTAGATTTTTATATGTCAATTTAGATGCTTATTTTCAAATCCTTTGACATAACCCCCATGCTCTGCGTTATGATGGTGCAAGAACAGGAACATTCGTATCTCGTTTGTACCTAATTGTACCGGTTAAAAAGCATTGAACATTCTAGGGGAAATCAATTTCTTAGAGCATTTGAATTTCCAAATGACATGACAGTTTAGAAAATGTTATTTGACACTTATGAATTGAACTTATGTTATGAATTGAACCTACCTATTAAGAATGTTATTCTCATAGAAGTTTGTGATTAAATCGATCTTTTTATAAAAATTAGGATATTATTCTGTCGTTGTTTTTTAATTTGCATATACAAATTTAGAATAACTTTTTACTTATTATAAAAACAATATTCGCTTCTTATTAGATGTTTGCCTGGACTTCTAAATTCATTTAAGCTTAATTGCATTTTTAAAATCATTTTTAGGGGTATTCGTTTTACTAAGTAATTAAGACCTTTTGAGCCGAGTACCTTAGTTTGACTCAAATATTTAAGTACATTGTAAGTTATTATTGTCTAAATAGAACAGACCTATTTACATATGACACTTGTCTAATTTAGTCTCACTTGAAAACCAAGTAAAACGCAAGTAAAACCAAGTAAAACGCAAGTAAAACCAAGTAAAACTCAGTTAAACTGAATTTCTAACAAACTCTCACTTCAGTCTAAGCTGACGCCAGTAAAAAGAATAGTTATAATAACTAAGCAACTAAGATTAACTAGGAAACTCAATTAATTTCGGTAAAAAGAATACCCCTATTGCATGTCTATATTTTATCAGAATATCAGATCCAGAAATGATACAATAACATTGGCCAACGAATTTTATAATAAAGGTAAGTTTTACTACATAATACTACAGTAGTGAATTTGTATGTATCTACTTGTTGCCATTACAAGAATTTTTATATTTTTTTTTTAAATATACTACACACATACTTATGTACATATGTACATACCGATACATAGGTGCTAAATTCGATTAGTCGCGTTTCAGTTTTATCTCCTGAAAATTGAACTCATTGAACTCGGCTGAATCGACCTGACAAAACAATGAAAAATAAATAAAAATAAATTTCTAATCTGACACTGACACTGAAATTTGTTTACTTCTATTTCTTAACAGGCCTTGATCGTTTGTCATCGATATAATTAATCACAATACATAAAATTAATTATGCATAAAATTAATTGATTTTGTTTTCATTTGTTCGCAGTATCTTATTTTGTTAATTTTGTTTTGTGGTTTTAATTAATCGATATTAATTGGGAAAGTTTATTTACCTGAGGAGATAAATGAACAATATTTACTTTGCAAGGTGGTAGAAGTAGTTTGATGTAATATTGCAAAAAATTTCCCGAAATAACTGAATTTTTTATCTAGTATTAATTTCACTAACTCAAGGAACATGAAGGTAACTGCCTTCTATAAAGGCAAGAGGTATTTATAGATTATGAGATCCTAGCTATCGAATTTTGTAATTAGAGAGTGTTAAATAAACTATCACCTCTTTTATTATTGTCTTTTTCATTTTGTAGGTACTCGTATAAATCCGATGTGTTCTGCAAAAAGAAATAAATAAGAAAATTACCTGATATTATGTACCTACATACATATGTAAATGTAAATTTGTTTTAATCATGAATAAAATCGTCGAGTACCTAATCACGAACTAAAATTAAAAATGAAGGTGTTAAGTGTTAAGGATTTTTAAATTTCGTGTAGGTAATTTCGATCATTATTTAACGAAATAATTCTTTATGCGTACAATTTTTTAATGCGTATAAATAAAAATTGCAACATTTATTACGATAAAAAAATTATAGGATTCTCCACAATATTGATAAAAACTCGAGGATAACACCTGAAATAGTCTAATAAATAAAAACAATATCTAAAGCCTTAATTACGCAATGACTGATAAACTGTATAGACTGATGGCTTTATTTGATATTGTGTAAAATATTTATTAATTAAGGTCAATTAAGGTTATTGATAGTATAGACAATAATTTTTGATCCGTTATACAGTTTTAAGATGAATGAAATTAAACACAAAAAATATGGAAATTCAATTCTACTAGTCCAGGTAATATTGAAATAAATTAATAGAAATTAATGTGTATTTTCCTTGTACATATGTAAGTAAATATCAAACATCCGTTTGGTGGACAGATGGAGTACTATATGTTAAGAATGAATTTTATTTGAGTACCTACCTACTGCCATTTTGATAAACTTTTTAGGAAAGCATTTATTCAAAGATTATTTGTCATTTAAAGAGAAGTATTTTAGAAGTGAGTATCATTTATGGACAAAACTGTAGGTACTTATGTGTTTACATGTTTATCACTTTTTTGCGTTAATAATGATAAATCGACTCTTTATCATGCATTTAGTCCTTTATTCTAAATATTCGTCAATAAATTCTGCATATCAAACATATAACCTACTTGAAAAGAACAGACTGTCTTGTATTTTTATGGCTTGTCTTGATATACATCTGTTTCTAATAAAATCTAATGTTGTGTAATACTTTAAATCCATATTTTCAATATATTTTTTTCTATTATAGGTTCTTCATCAGAAGTTCTACCTCAAGATTTCCTGTTTTCATTGTGAAATATTTACCTCATTTTTAAATTAATTATCGCTTTCAGTTCCCCAAAACTATATCTTACTTTGCATATGTTTTATAAGATATAATTAATTTAAATAATTTAACATAAAAATTGTATACTTATGCATATAGGGTAAGTATATAAGTGCATTTTTACAGAACAATTCAAGTTTGTTTTAAGTGCAATTATTGTAAAAACAGTTTTATACAATTAAATTTATTTGGCATATTATACAACATTCTATAGATTTGTCCAGTTACTTCTCGATATCAAAAATCATTATCAATCTACACAAAAGATAAATTAGGATTGTTGTTATTTCTCTTCCTATTTACTATCGTTTCGAGATTAGCCTGAAAGTATTTAAAGGAAATCAAAAAAGTTCACATAGTCAGTTTCAAAGCGAATATGAGTCCAATATTGATAGTGATCGCGTTGTCGGTATACGCGACACACGGAGCGAAAATTTTGGGAATAATCACGATAGCATCGGTCAGTCACCATCTACCGTTCCAGCCGCTGTGGCAGGAACTCTCCAACAGAGGTCACGATGTCACCGTCATCACCACCGATCCCCTAAGGAACCTCTCCAATTACAACTTGAAGGAAATCGACATCAGCTACACATACAAGATCTACGAAAAGCACGAAATTTCCAACGTTATAAGCGACGAGTCCAATACCTACGCCAAAATCGCCTCGGTGATACAGAAGGTGTTCTTCGAAGCCAACGATTACCTAATGAACCTGCCGGAGGTGCAGGATTTGTTGCACAACGAAAAGAACCACTTCGATGTCGTGTTGGTGGAGGCGCACATGCCGTCTATGTTGGCCTTCGGCTGGAAGTTCAAATGCCCCGTTATCGGAATCGCCTCGTTGGATCCGGCGATGCAGTACCACGACTCGCTCGGCAACCTGGTGCACCCGGTCATCAACCCGGATCCCAACCTGGACATCGCCGACAGCGAGAACTTGTCCTTCATGGACAGGGTGAGGAGCTTCATCTACACCGTGGCCTACAAGTACGTCATCAATTACATGACGTTTCCCACGCATCACGAGCACATGAAGAAGTACTTCGGCGACGACCTGCCGCCCTTTGACGTTCTCCAGGATAACATTAGTTTGATGTTGACCGGTACTAATCCGCTTTTTCACAATATGAGACCTATCAATTTGAATACCATCCCTATAGGCGGCGGTATGCACTTAAAACCGCCCCGGGATTTACCTCAGGTAAGATTATTCAAGGTACTTAATATATTGGAATTATCAACTAAATATTTCCTATTGTCATTTTGGTGGAACTTTATTCGTGGCTTTGAACTATATCCACGTAAGGTACTATTTCTCAATACCCAATGAAATATTTACTTCAAATATTCAATAGTGCACTTGTTTTCGTTTATTTGAGAACTATAAAATATTGTTATTTCTAGGATATACAATCCTTTTTGGATGACAGTCTTAACGAAGTGATCTACTTCAGTTTAGGAAGCAACGTAAAGTGCAATGTGTTGACAGAAAATTTCAAGAGGGTTGTAATGGAAGCTTTTACAGAACTACCTTACAAGGTGATTTTAAAAACGGACTGCAACATGACCAGTGTTCCTAGTAACGTGTTTATCAAGAAATGGATGCCGCAACAAGACGTTTTAAGTAAGTAGTCATTTTTTAAATTCTTTTATTGATATAATTCGAAAAAAATTGCGATAACAAATTAGAAGCGATTCACGAACAGAGATTTTTATTTGTATATCATGAAAATATTCCTTAGTGAATTAGCAGAATAAAAGTAATGTAAAACTCATTTACTTTATTTATTCGCGTTAAGGTTTAAGTGGCTTATCGACTGTTGTCAAGTTTATTAAGAATGCAAAGATCGAGCTCTTAATCTTGATAGGTATGGAAAATGTTTGCACGAGACGATCCAATTATCTACTTTTTGAATCTTTGTTTTATAAAATTAGTAGGAAATCCCCTTCGAGTATTTTTTACATCGCACCAAAGATTAAAATGACTTTCTTATGGTTCATTAGATTATCTATTTAAATTGTATACTGATAAACAGTTAAAGAGATTAAAAACTGCTTTCGACCGATTAACCACCAATTTCGTCAATATAATATGTACATTTTATATTAACTTAATGACAAATCTCTATTTAGAATCTTAATTCTTAAATTTTAGGACACCCGAACATAAAATTATTCATTTCGCAAGGAGGACTGCAATCCCTGCAGGAATCCATCTCGAATAGCATACCCTTGATCGGCATCCCCTTCTTCGGCGATCAAATTACCAACGTGAACAGAATGGTAAAGCGCGGATACGGTATTAAATTGGATAAAAGAACAATCAATAAGGACATACTGATTAAAGCTATCAAAGAAGTCATGAACAATCCTAAGTAAGTACAAACCCAGCAAAAATGCACCTACTATAAAACTATTGTAAACTTTCTGTATTGTACAGTACTTCTCAAATGTAAAATGTTTTTATAGATACAGGCAGACTGCCAAACTCATGGGCGATATATTCAAAGACGAGGAAATTCCCAGTCTGAGAAGAGCGGTGTTTTGGACGGAGTACATCATCAGGCACAAGGGAGCAAAGCACCTGAGGAGTTCTGTTATAGGAATGCCCGCATGGAAGTACTATATGTTTGATGTTTTGGGTTTCTTCTTGGCGTGTGGCATATGTATTGTGATGCTGTTGTATTTGTTGACGAAGTTGTTTCTATCAGTATTAAGACACGCTTTCGATCTAGCATTGATCACCGTGAAACAATCTAAACTTAAGTGCGATTAAGGAGTTACGTTAGAAAATTGTTAAAGTCTGTCGAATACGTACTTTCTCTTTAAGAATGTATCAAATTTTGTACTTTTTTAAGACACGTTGGTTGGAAAGTGTACTAATGATTATTTATAAATCTATTTATTTTGATAAAAATGCATATATGTTAGGAGTATAAAATAAGTAAACGTTTTAGAATAGTTAACGTAGAATTGTTACTCTATTAGTAGTGATTATGAAAATGTTTACAGACATAGTTTAATATATTTTTAAGGTAGCAATTTATTTCAGCAATGAAATAAGAACAACCGAGGAATCATAGACTCTTTACATAAGAATCTTTATCTTTAATATTGCTCATGTTCGATAATAATAAAATTTTGAAAACAAAAATATTGTCAGTTATATGGAATAATAATGTAGATACTATTTATTTAAGGAAAATGTATGTAGTGTTTTGTTATTGGATCGAATCAATTTTCAACAGACAAAACAGTTCGGAGAATTTAGAAAGCAATAATTTTATTATGAAGTACTTATTAAATGTGTATTTGTGTAGGTAACTATTTATTGCTGATTGTAAAATTAAAAACATTTTTACAGACTTAGATATGTTGTTTGAATACATGTGAATAATAATAAAGAAATTTAAGAAATTTATTGGTAATGGTGATTCAAAAATCACTTCGCCCTCAAATTCTTTAGAATTTAGAGTAGAAATTGACGTTACTTTATAGCTGTTTTTTCTAATATGATTAAAACCCCAACAAAAATATCTGTAGAAAAAGTAAATAGTAAGTCGAATATGCTAATGAAAATGATTATTAATAGTAATAGGTACGGGAAGGTTGTACAAACTCTTCACGTTCCAACTCGTGGGAAATCACTATCATTCGGCGCTTGATATACCGTATAGGTACTAGTTTGTTATTATAATTATCAAACGAGATTACTAATAATGTATTTTTAGCTTTGTTTAATTACTGCACGTTATTGTTCTCTTTAAAAAAAGTAATCAAATTAACCAGTGATTAAAATTATTTATAATCCGTCGTCTACCAATAATAATACCTAATTATAGTGACTTGAACTTGTTATTTACCTTGCCAGCACTGTACTGTACCTATTCAATTATCTTCAAATATTATGTTTTCCTTAATTACTACCTAAGGTTACCGTACCTACGTTAGTAATCATATGTGAAATACATTTCAAAAAATTGAACAGTGCACGTTACTATAGCCAATAACAAACTTTTTTGCTCAAAATCAATTTACCTACTCTATGAAGAAAAAAGGAATAATCTTGACAAAAGCCTCAATTCCATTTTATTTATTCCTTACTTTTTAATAGCCTCGTGTTGACGAAACTCGTTTTCACGACTGTATGTACGGTGATTAAGCTTGCGCCTGAAGTTGCTCTTTAAAAACTTCCAAACCGCCCTTTTGATCAAAGGTGTTTACGTTCAGTTGCATACACACATCAATCAGCATTCGAAGGGGATTAGGGGGCAGTTTGCGGTCGCGTTCGTAACAACTTCGCAACTCCTCCAATCGCCGCCTAATTGAAAGTTTTAAGTTGCAAAATGCAAACCGGTGCTGTGAAAAGTTTTGTACAATTTCTCTCAATTATCGGTAAGACTTTTTTTATAATAAAGTACCTATACTGCTCGAATGAAATTAGGACGCCTTATTGAACGTAAATATGCGGAGAAAAAAAACAATAAAAGTTTTTAAAGTAGATTTAGTAATTAATTTAATTTTAGTGCTATGGAGCTCGGTGTACGCTATTAAAATTCAACAATTAAACGTGCCGCGTTTAACAAGGCTTCCCGTGGAAGAATTAATCCTGGATTGCGTTTATGTTATGGAGGAGCACGAACGTTCCGACTTGTTGACTGTAAAATGGTTTTTTAATCACGAAACGAATCCAATTTATCAGTGGATAGCGAATTACGAGCCCCGAGAAAATGGTAAATTTTCTATTCACGTTTTTTTAACTCTACAGCACTTTGTGAATACAAATTTTTATGAGTTAATCGACAGGTTTAAAATTACATAAGGAGAAACTTTTATTTTTATATGCGTAATTTCGTAATTTTTTCATAATTTAATAAGTACGATTATAAAAATGAAATTTTTAATCAAATTCCAATACATTACAAATACAGATATCTCTTTGTCTTTTAAGCTTTCTAATCAAGTTATATTTTTTCCATTTAATTACAATTTGATTGTTTTAATATTCCCTATCACGCTATACAGTCAATAAAAGAAACCAACATTTGGTTTCACTGCAATATTTTCACTGTGGTTATATTTTAATTTGAAAGACTTTTTCAGGAATATTAAAAAATCGCTTGGATCTTCAATATTCTCCTATCGATAGTCCTCGTTGTTACAGAGCGCTAAAAATTAAAAAAGTAAATGTGGAACTTACGGGAAATTATACTTGTGTAGTATCAACGCTGGATGGGGAAGATGCGAAAACTAAACAAATGGTGATTTTAGGTAAGTTCAAAACTGCAATTTTACTATTTTTCATTTGGGAGCCAAAAGGAATTCAATGAAAAACGCATATTAAAACAAACATTTAATTATTGTAACACATATTTCGTAACAAAAAATAAAACAAGTTTTTTTTCGAATGAATATTGGGAGCGCAACATTCAACATATAAAACAAAACTCGGAAATGCCAAATATCTTTACTTTCATATAACATGTATAGAAAAATCAGTTCTGTTTACTCAGTTGGTTTACATTACACGCGTAAAATGCTTGTGATATTTCAAAAAAGAACGCGACGTGTTGATTTCAATCAATATTATCAATTGTTCGAGCTGACAATTTTGATGTATTTGTAATTTGTTTTTGTTCGGTAGCTTTTTTCGTAATTTTTTAAGAATGTGTAAATAGCGTGTAGAAAATGTTAGTCAATCTTCAAAACTTGACAAAATTCTTTAAAAGAGATTTATTCTAATTGGGTATTTAATATATCAACATTGAGATATTTATAAAATTTTGATCAGGGATACACAACACAAAGCTTTTCATAGATTATATTTTTGTTTGTAACCCCTACTTTTTTAGTTATATTTGATTAATTTTTCATACAAAAACATTTAATTAGAATTAATCAATTTCGTGTGGTTTTCATAAAATTGGAGTTAATAAAAAACATTAAAAAATATTTTATTAAGACAACTCACTACATTGGATATTTTATAAGGTTTTGGTTACTAATACGAAATTCTTCAACACATTACCAAAAATTATGATAAAAGTATTCTTTCGTAGCAGCCAAATAGGGAAGGGTTTTAAAATAAATTATAAAAAATATCTATTTTTTTTGTTCAAAAATTAAACATCCCGGCATCTATTTACACGCATTTAGGAAGCACGTTATAAGAACTCCTGATGTACATTATCAATAGCTACCTCCGCCTATAAAAGAGGCTTACTTTAAGGAGTGAAAAATATTTATCAATAGCATAGTTTAAACACGAATAGTCCATATTTATAAAAATTAAGCATTTACTTTGAAGTAAAAGGTAGAGGGAAAATATAAGAGAAAAAAACCGAGGAAAAAACCTTAAACAAAGGTTTTAAAACCATAAAACTTTTGCATTATAGCAACAGCTGGGTCCTCGAAGCAGAATCTCTCTTCCTTCTCTTCTTTTTATGGATATACCTTGAAGCAGTTCATTCATTTTTTGAAGCAAAAGGTTTTATAATTTTTTTATAAATACGGCCTAATGACATACTCGTATATAGCAATATACCTCATTTAATTTAGGGTAGATAATGTGTAAGATATGTAGATATTAACAATGGTCCTTGTTGAATGGTGTAGTCAAGTTAATAAACATATTTAACAACGCTTACATCAATTTAATGCAGTAATCGTAATTTTTGAATATTTTATTAAAATAAAGGCACTGATCGGCAAAATCACCATGCTAACGTCTTGTCTTTATGAGGCAGTATTTGCAGCGAACACGTCTTAAATAAAACACTGTTCGGTGTAGAAATTGAATAAAAGTTAAAAAATAACTTGGAAGATTCTTATTTGTATTTGCAATATTAACAACTCTCAGCTCTTTTGCGACACGTTCTTTCTTGAAATACAGGTATATAAAATTTTCGAATTTATTAAAAACTACTTAGAATATCAGTCATTTTGGGAATATGGTCCCGCCTGTCTCAGAGCTTGAGCGATTCCTCCTTTGGAAGTCAAATCTCGAGTTTCCATTCTAGGCACAAATTTAGGTACGAATATTAAAGCGACGGCGGCGCCGATGTGAAGACACCAAAACATTTTGTTGTATAACACGATAGACGAATAGAATTCCAATGAAACAAACGGAAACGTAATGTAAGCTAAAACGAAGTGCGTAACGGCGAACGTGATCAGATCGTACAAAAGTTTCGCTTCTCTGCTTTCCATGAAGTAGTTCCTAACGTGCCTTCGCACTTGCCGAGATGCGAACGTGAAAAGGGCGCCGCTCAGGAATGTTAAATAATAGCCGGGATAAAACCCGTGCCACAAAGCAGAGAGTAAATACGTGGCGACCGTCGGATAGCCGATCACTCTTTCGTAGACGATCATCCTCAGCCAGGCGTTCGTCCCTTTGTTCCAAGCTTCTATAGCTTGCTTTAGACTCGTCGCGAATTCAAATTGCAAAATATCCACGTTGGAAACTTTGTTCCATTGTTCGGATTCCTCTTCGGCGTATCCAGAGAAACCTAAACCGCTATTGTTGCAAATGGCGTCCGCCATTGTCCACGCGAAATAATACTTAAATCTCACTAATGTTGTACTGACGGTAAGGTACCAAAATTTATATCCCATACTGGTGTTTTCGACGAAATTCTGCTCTTTGACCCGGCTGATGGGAAATCTTGGAAGAAACTTGATGAAAATAAACGCGCAGAACAGCGCTATTATCACTTTTTTGATGACTGCTTTGATTGGATTCGGTTCGTTTACGACCTCCTGTGATTGTGATCCATGTGGAATTTTTATGTACGAATTCCCTTCTATAAAATCTATATAGTCGTTATAAAAAATTAAGGGGCCGGCCATTACCGATGGAAACATCAGACAATAACTGAAATACTCCAATACGTTTGGAGTTTTGTATATTGCATGATATTGTTGGTTATTCGTCATGTCATCTTGCGCTTTGGTAAGACCGTCATGAAGACTAAATGTTAAGGAAGACACTTTTTGTGTGATGACCATTAGCGGACCGCTAATGTCCAAACCACAAGAGCCGTAATCATAAATTATCCGATGTATGTGGATGCAGGAAAGGTAAAGTAAGGCCACTGTTAGCACCATACCATGCATAATATGAGGATTTTGAGTTACCATCACCTGAAAAGAAAACAAATAATTTAGTATATCTACGTATATAAACAATGTGTAAAAAAATCCGTAATTTCTTAAACTAAACTTCATGTTAACGTGGTTCGTGATCCACCATTGACTAGGTATATTATTTACGCTAGATTTCGATCTTAATTACTATCATAAATTAAGCCATTAATAAATTGCGGGTATAAAGAAGTTTAATGAACCATTCATTGATCGATTCGAAATGAGATTTTACTGTTACTGTTCAATACGACTCCGATATCGTTCGACGTTTTAAAACTACCGAGTGATCTCATTCTGGCATGACTTGCTTACAGTTGACTCATTTTTGCAAATTTGGAGAACTCGAATTGTTTATATGTAAAATTTAAGCATCGCAAAATTACGCAAATAACACGCCCGAGATTTTTTAAGTTAATTTATTCATAGAGAACGAATCGTTTACTGTAAAACAAAAATTGTTCGTTGATTTGTACTCCCAGTAAAATACTTATGTTGTATATTAAATTACACATAAAATATTATAAATGCCATTTTTTATCTCTGGCTATATGTTCCTAAGAAATTACCAATAAAAAAAATACTTTTATTTTAAGCAATTTAAAAAAAATCTATGTATATTTATTTAATGTCTAATAAAAGACTCGCAAAGATCGACTTTAATTACACTCAATTAGAATAACGATGTTGTAATAACATTGAGTAAAGGTAAACAGATAAGGGTTAAAGCAATATAAACGACCTGTATGTATTTTGTTCATGGTTAAGGTGGGAATAAAATGTTCTCGCTTGTTTTCCTTTCTGGAACATGCACTCGAAAATTTGAATAACATCGGAAAAACATTGAAACGATTTTAATAGTTACATTTAGATATTTTTAGTACTTACCAATTTACATGAATATTATTGCATCAACTTTTTATTACCTCGCCGCATTTAATTTGCATTACTTATAGTACAAAGGTTTTATAACCCTTTTTACTACATTATTCAATTGAACATTTCAACCTTTAACTGTACAAATTTGTTGGACTGGAATGAGGCCAGTCGATAATAAAGTAACAAGTACTTTTCAATTGGTTACAGTTCTATTTTCGTTGAGTAATAGAAAATTTGCGGCATTTAAACTACGGACATTTTATTTTGCAACCATTAAGACGTCCGCGATTTATCGCAGAAATATTTTAGTACGATTTAAAAAGTAGCATTTTAACGATAGCAAGCATAAAAGGTAGGGTTTATTTTTAAAAATAAATATAAAATTTTATCCTTTAATAATGAATAATACGCCTGATATTGTTGAAATTGAGAAATTCAATAATATTTAAGATTAAATAGTAAACCAACAAAAATATAGCAAACAATTGATGCAAGTCCCCGATAACCTCTTGAACAATCGGACACTGGAGAAGAAATCCTATATTATGCAATATGCTGCATTGATATACAGCTTTTAATACATGAACAAATTAAGCAACAACTCTCCAGTGCTCCAGATAGAACATACTTACTTTGGAAAAGGGAATAATAAAACTACAATTACCATATTGGCGAAGATAAAGGGCTTTTAAATTAGATCTCTGTATAAGTCTATTAACAGCATAGAAACATTAGCGACATAATTATGAAAACATACATACACGTGTACGTGTGGTTTTTGAAAAGTACGTCAAATAGTTGAATGAATAGAATGAAAATTATTTAATGATGACCCAAATAAAACCCCAGAATAAATTAGGACTCGGTATTATTTAATATGAAGAGGACGAATAAATCATTGGTCGTTTGAACACATTGCTAAAATTAACTGTAGTAAACCTAAAGCAATTTTCAATGCACGAGATTAATAACAGGTCAAGTACCAACATCTTTATTAAATGTTCCGCCATTTTGAAATGGGTGCAGATATTGACTTTATATTTCAGGGTTGTAGAGTATTTGCCAGGAGCTTCAAAATGATGTATCACAAGACCCCCCTTTCCATTTAAATTTATTTCCCAAGATGGCGCCCAGTCGCCATCTTGAAATTTTCATCTGTCAATTTTACTCCAAAATATAGTAATCATGCATTAGTTTCATTATCCCAAATTTCAATTTTCTAAGTTGATCCGTTCAAAAAATAAAAGGGGGGGGGGACATTAAAGAAATGCACTGTATAAGTAGGTAGTATACCTTATACATAACGTATTCAAATAACGTAGTTAAATGTAAATTTTTTCACCTTTGTAAAAAATTTGAACATCATGAACTTTTCAAAATCTAACTTTTAGATGATTTCATACAACTCTAGATTAAAATATTTCTTCAAATTTTCATAATATGGCAACTATGACGTTATTACTAACCTATGAGGAACGTTGAAAAGTGTTATCTTTACTTAAAGAGGCGTTTGCGAAATCTCAGTTTAAAAAATCGTGAAAGTTTTTATTGGTTTTGAAACTATGCTATTAAACGAACATATCAAAAATTCCAATGCAATGAAAATAACGAAATAGATTGCCGGTTTATGATGTTTGAAACAACACTCGCAAAGGTATTTAAAAATCCTGACCATTGCCGGGAAATTGTTTCAATACGAAATTCAAATAATTTTAATAACAATTATGCAAATTACGAATCATTTATGCGTAAGGAGATGCAATTATTTTGTTACCTAGTTTTAAATTATTAATATCACGTAATATCTGTATTACCTACTTTCTACAAAAATAATGGATATGCATATGGAATGTTTGTGGTCAACTTCTAATGGATTGTATAAAATTTAATTTGTTTAATGCTGGGAAGACGTGAAAAAATGCCATCAAAATACCTACGCATGTTCTGCAGTTATTTAACCAACATTAAGAAACTTTTAATTTCTGCATTAATCAAATTTAATTGAGCACCCCACCTTTGCATGACCTAATTAAACAAACAAATTTTTAAACCAACACCCTGAATATGTGGCAGAATAAAACTAAAAATAAACTATTACACTGAAGTTTAAAATGTGCAGGAATATATCCATTACGTGGGTAATTTACAAGTTTAGGTTACAGTTATGTTGAAAACATTCAGGTCTACCTAGTGAATATAAATTTAAATTTATATAAATTATGCACTTACCACATAACATAATGTAGGTAGACCAGCCAAATGTACGGCTTGAAAACCGAAACAAAAGTACCCTAAACACAACCCCACGATCAAGCCGAAGGCATGTCTAACTTGAGTACTGGCCCTTTTCGGATGCAAAACGGTCCTGTACAATGTAGACAGCAGCAGAGCAGCGAATTGGCTCACCAAGAAGTTCAAATGATCGGTTTCTAACCCCACATTTTCGGCCAAACCGGACAGAATTTGGCTACCCTTAGGGACGCCGCCTCGCCCGTTCATGATTCTCCTATTAGGGACGACAACACGTGTTACGAAAACCCGTTTGACATTCGCCTTCCCTCACTGTCACTCAAATCGAGCAATTTTGAAAATCTTCGAAATCGTAAACTGATCACATCCCATAACACAGTCGCGGCTTCCTATCTAACCTACGTACTGCTCGGTTTTTTTTTTACTGATTTTATTAAGAGAAATACGCGGTCGCGGCGATGCCAAATGCAAAGAGTAACGTCGATAGGCGGTATAGCGAGGTGTCGAGCAACGGGCAGTAGTCGAAGCGATACTCGTCAGAACGGACAATACTGGATCTAACCGAGTTCAACAAGTTGCCATTTCAACAAGTTCGAAACTACAACGAACGAAATATTGTAATTAGATTATTGGAGATGATTATATTTTAAAGAATTGGACTCACTTGGATTCACTCTGGAGGATGGTACAGGATTTAGATGTGTGGAGTAAAGGATTAAAGGAGTAAAATAATACAGATGCAAAAAAAGAGAAACTTTATATTGTATGTGGTGTATTGAATTGACCTATTGAATTGATGAATATGTATGCATATAGATTGTTTAAAGTTCTATGAGTAATAGGATCATTACTAGGAAGAGAAAAATAAATTAAGATATGAAATTATTGATAAAAGATAGATATTATAATGCGCGTCCAACTGTCGGGAAAACCAACATTCACCGAATTAATCGATTTGATCAATTTCAAATATTTACCAAATTTTAATATGAGCAAAACAAATAAGATTATTTTTTTAGTACCATAAAATGAACCAAAGTATAATATTTTGCTTTGGTACCATTAGAAATGTAGGTTATTTTTTATCACCTTTTAGTTTACTCAAAGACAAGGTTGGGACAAACCTAAATATATACTGCTCCACAAAAGTTAAGGAAGTTCACAAATATTGAAATTAATTTAAAAGTTGCAGGTTTTTTGATCGCCAAATTTAGTATGAGTTGTAGAGGTAGGGACAAAAAATCCACTCAGATATTTAGAGAAAACATTTAATTTCGCATAAATGAAAATTTGGTGACCAAAAAGTCTGTAAATTTTAAAATAATTGCAAAATTTGCGAACTTCCTTAACTTTTGTGGAGCAGTTTATTTTAAAGATTATCAGATAAAGAAAAATCCTTTATCAAAGCCTATATACAGGTTGATTCATTTTAGTTTACAATATATGTAGGTTATTTATTCTATAGGTAGATAAAGACAACTTCCATTAGACACTTAATAAAGAAGAAAAAGTGATATTATGTCATTGAAACTTTTCACTCTGTTATTTTAATAATCTTTTTTTGTTAAACTCATAGAAATAACCATATTGCAAACTGAAATGAATCAAGGTGTATAATGTTTCTACTCAATCTAAAACTAGAAGTAAAACAGTGATAACATGAGAGATAATAAAAAGATATCAAATTAGTCTAATTTTTGTATTGTACAAAAATAAACTAAAATTAATAATAAACTATTAGATGATTATGTAATTTTTCCTGGTTCAATGCAAACCCTATGGATATTCAAAACTGTATTCCATTTGCTTGACTGATTCTAATTTACATACAAGTACCAACCTAGTTTGGCGTGGGTCTACTGGCACTCATCGTGTTAATTTATTTTCGAATTGTGTAAAATACGAGTAAGTATCGCCTGTTATCAATCAAAGTTAACGATTGAACTTGGCAGGAGATTGTTTTTGTTTATATTTTAATAATCGAATTGTCATAACAATTCGGCGATTAAAATGCAGCGGTGGTAAAAATGCAATTTCCTCGTTAATCTCAAATTAGATCGCGAAGCCGGTAAACAAACAATCCAGCAGCATCGCAAGAAGGTCATTTATTTTAAAAATATCAACAATTTGTCTATCACACGAGTATTCTTGAGATAAATGGAAATAAATCAGTTAATAACAGAACTGACCTTGGCCATTATATTTAATCATAAAGAGTTCAAATTTGCCTGAGCGGTCAGGCGACTCACGAATAATACGATGGCCCCGCAAGCGAATGACTCCTTTAAAGCTCCTGAACATAAGGCCTCTTATCTCACGTTAATGCATTGCTGAAGTGAAAGCTGTGAAGTGGCTGTAATATTCGCAGACGAGGCAATGATAGCTCGAAGCGACGTTGCCAGATTATTCATGTTTCAAGAGATTTACTGATTAAAAATTAAACATGGAATTTATACAGAGTATTTTTGTTTCAGCTGGCGGACTTCGATGCACTTCAAGTGAATTTCTAATTTTTTGTATGTTCGTTATTGCATTATTAGGTAATGTAAGTAATTATAGTATTTGTATGGATTGAGATATTTTTTATAGATTATTGTGTGAACTTACTTTAATATTTTTAATGTACTTTTTACATTTCAAATAGGTATAATTAATTACTTAATTGTAATATAAGGGTCCGTATTTTAATCTGTTTGCAATGAATGTGTAATTAATTTTTATTCATCAGAATTTGTACAGAACTTTAAGTTCCTTTAAACCATAAAATTATTTTAAAAATAAAAACTATTTCTAAAAAAATTCTAAAGGATTTTTCTTTATTTTTTAAATTAATTTAAAAGTTCCATTTATTGACTGATTTATGACTGAGTTATGATTATTCCCACTTTACAGTGAAATTGAGATATTACATTTTTGAATATGTTTGTATGTGCATGTATTATTAAACATACAATATCAATTAAAACTTGAATTATGCGCAACAGTGGAACTCTGTACACATACTAATTAAATCCAAATCGATCTCTAGAACATCCAATTACAAGTAATCAGCGAGTTGCGAGTTCTAATTACTTTAAAATTGGACGTTTTTGATCCCTGTCGGGCGTGCCCTTTGGTCAAATAATCTGGGATGTCTTGAAATTCGATTTCGCCCCTTAATAAAATGATAATCCACTTCGGCAGAGCAAATTGATTGTTAGTTTATTCAGCGAGTTACGATTTCGTGAGCGATTTCGCCTTCGGTGGCGTTTTTGACATTTAATTATACGAGGTGTATGAGATAATTTTAGGTATTACCATCGGGTCGGGCACGCGAGGGTTGCCCTATTAAATTAGGGCTTAATTTAGTCGCGATGTATTCTGACAGCGAATTTTAAGTAATTCATTCCGTGAATTATTTCTCGTACACGTGGTGTTTTTTTCCTATAGCGATAAAACAATTTAAACAGTTTATTGTTTATGGGTAGGTAGGTACGGTTTTTTAGAATATGTATAGGAAATATATTAATAAAATTAATTTATTTAATATTTTACTTACATATTATGTAGGCAATGCAGGTATAAAGGTATCTAAGATAAGTAGGTAAATGCTAATTGAAATATGTATACTTCCGCTGCTTAACCAATCATAACTGCTTTGAATTCTGCAATAAAAGTAATAATATATGTAATAATTATGTGGACAAACCGATAAAATTTACGTAGATAAACTGATAAAAGTATGCTGCTTTTAAAATAAATCAATTCTTACCATCCCAATCGACTGTACCCGATCCATCGGTGTCGATTTCATCGATCATATTGTCTAAATCATCTTCGGTAAGTTTCTCGTCCAATTCTCTAAGGATTTCCCTCAATACCTCGATGCTTATGAAACCGTTCCCTGTAAATATCGAACGTTGTCAAAAACTCTTGTTCAAAAAAAATCTACTAAACTCACCTTCTTTATCGTACATTCGAAACGCCCCCTTCAACTCCAACTGTATGGCTTCGGTGTCTTCGTCCTCTTCAACCAAAAATCTCGCCGCTAAATTGGCGAACTCCTCGAAACTCACCTCTCCATTTCCATCCTCGTCGATTTCATCTATGATTCTCTAGAGGGCACAGTTGATGTTTAATTTTCTTATTACTTAACTGAAGAAAAAAGGGAATGAAATAACTTACATCTAGTTCCTCTTCAGCCATAACTCTGGTCCCTAACATTTCCATGATAGTTCCAATCATCTCGGCTTCTATGTAGCCTTTACGGTCCACATCGAAGGCATCAAAGGTAGTTTTGAGCACTGCAATTAATTTTTAATTCAACAACATTTTTGGGGTCATTATAAACCACACTTACTAGAAAGTTGCTCTCTGTCCAAGTCATCCTAGAATGGAAACAACATTGAGTTATTAGTTCCAATACTTTTACATAAACTAATCTGGTTCTAAGATTTAAAAAAATATTAGTTACCTATTTTTGAACTTATGAGTGTAAATTAACATACAAAATAGTTGGAGAACAGCACAATTAAATGATGATAAAAAGTAACAAAATCTTGTTAAACAAAGTTAATTCCGGTAAATAACTTGATCGAATCGCTTACCATTGTAATTCCAGCTGGAGGGCCGCGCGAATTGGAATCCCGTACACTAAAAGGCAGTTTATTTAGCGAGTGAATAGCCTTCGAAAGAGGGGAGGAAAAACCACAATAAATAGATTAATAATAGAACCGGCGATTCTTGGTTTTTTTACCTCTCGAATTTCGCAACCGACATACTCGAAATTGATTTAGTACGTGCAGATGTACGGCCCTGTGCAATTAAAATGCAATGCTTAATTTGCATGAAAAACGCTTTCTTCGAAGTTAATTAGAATGCATAACAATAGACAAGAAAATATATGAAACATGAATACTTAAGTGACTGTGAATATACGACTACATTTAATTATTTTGCTCTAAGTGATAATGCAAAATAGAACATAAAATTAATGATAAAATTAAAATTAGCACCAGATATTACCATAAAAAATAAATAATATGATGACAGAAGCTTTTAGTGTTAAACAACAATAGAATATTTGAATAGATCAATTAAATAAATAACATATATTTGATTTCTTTTAGTAAATGTTTAAACTCTTCAAATTCAATAATTTGGTTCAATTTTTTTCTTTTTCTCTTGCAATGATTATGCTAGTAGTATGAAAGTGAAGTTTAGCGCAATGTTTTATTATTGATGTTTGTAACATTGAATATAATTAACGACTGCTGCATTTTATAAGATATTCTGTCACAGCCAAATTTTGTGGATAATTCGCATCGCAGGTGGAAGAAACATTTAAATCCGCATTGTGATGTTAATCATCTCCACCTGTCATCACTTCCATAAATTCTAAAACAAGGAAAATTAAGATAATAATTTTTATTAATGTATAGATGTGGTATCATGAGTTTAACAGGATAGATATGTTGCAATTTATCTAAAAGCCCTATATGTAGAGGAGTGATTATACATTTAAATACATTCATCCGTATTTAAAGCTTTTTTTCATTATCTGAATTTTCTTACCATCAAAATCGACTGTTCCGGACCCGTCTTGATCGATTTCTTCAATCATCATATCGAGTTCATCATTGGTAATTTTGTCATCAAGTTCTTTCAAGATTTCTTTCAATGTACTTGTAGTGATGTAACCATTACCTAAAATATTTTTTTAAAAACACATTGAACAAAAAACTTACCTAACTACCTTCTTTATCGTACAATCGAAAAGCTTCTTTCAGTTCTTGTTGCATTGCTTCAGCGTCTTCTTCAACCATAAACCTGGAGGCCAGAGTTATGAATTCTTCGAATTCTAATTCTCCAGAACCTGAAATTTTTATTTTAAAAAAAACTATAGCTGAATTTTAAAACAACTTCTGATGGGCTTTAGCTCACAGGGAAACATATTTATTGCATAGAAAAGTCTACAATTTTCGTGTAAGTTGATGAATCATTATGAATCATAATATATGCAAGTTAAAATTCAAATTTAGGTAGTTAAATTATCATCAAATACTAATAAAAAATGTCGGCTAGAGAACAAAAGATAATTGAATAATGTATAAACTTACCGTCTGCATCAACTTCATCTATAATTTCCTTTAGCATACTTTCCGTGGTTTGTATTCCGAGCATACTTAAAATCGTTCCCACCATAACCGTGCCGATACTGCCCTTTTTCTCCACATCAAACGTATCGAAAGCATTTTTCAGCACTAATTAAACCAATAATAGCAATAATTAAAAAACAAACAATACGATGTAACAAAGAATATCAAAATATATACTTACATGCTATTTGATCCTTCGTTAGTTCGGCGTCCTAAAAATTAATTGGATAATTAATTAACAAATTTACGCATTTAATTAATCCGCAATATGAATTATCTAGAGTTGGTTATTCGAAAATACGTACCGTCATTTCGAATTTTTGGAGACGGGATTCGATTTGTTTTGTTGGAAGGACAGTAAAGTACTAATGGCAGATATTAAATTGATAGTAAGAGCATTCTTAAAATAGAGTAGCGCATTCTTACGAAATTATTTTCATAATTAATTCGACTGTTATAGTGGAAAGTTTAAAACCAGTTGCGGGAACAGAAGCGTAATGAAATTTTCAGGAATTTTCATAATATACTGCATCTTATCACAATGAATATGTAAATATGTTAACTTATTGATGCGTTTTGGGGTAGGTCTTAAATTTAAGGTTAGGTAAACTCAAATTAACTATTCAAAATAATGTTTCCAAAAAATGATAAAAGCAACGATTTATTATATTAATCGAATCGATACTGGTGGAATTTAAAATCGATGGAGAAATTTCCTAAATCTACCTCTGTGAGCATGATGGTATTGTTTTAATTTGGCAGATGATAGTCTAACCGAATTGAAATTATTTTTACGTCACTCGTAACAATCCCAGGTTCATTTTGTACTCGATTTCTATATCTGGCCGTCTTCCAAAACGTCCTAACGGCCAGGCCAAAAGACTGGCGTTTTAAACGGCTGTAAAATAGCGATGAGACGAAAAAAATCCAGAAAATTTTTAGGTTTCCTATAATTAACTTATCTGCAGTTGTTATCAACAAATAGGCGATTTTATTCGACGCCAAAATAAATTTATAAAGCGGGGTTCTTGTTGTTTTTTCGATACTAGCTTAGGGAATGTTGGTAAAGGTAAAAAATAAAACTCGAACTAGTGTCAGCATACTTTCTTCAATTTTGACATAGAATATCATAATGAGAAACATTGATAAAACGATTTTAAGATATAGATATAATGAGACGTTCTACACAACAGCCATATATAATAATATACTCAATAAGAGGTTACAATATTTTTTTCTTCACATATACATATATGAATAAGGTAAACATCATAAAAAGTGAGTAAGGGGTGGGTCTCAGGCGGAAACTTCGCGTCCATACGCGATAACGACCTGACACTAGAATTTTTAGAAAAATATCGCATTTCAGCATTTATATTATTTTATTAGTATTTTTTCTATATTTGTCGTACCGACGCGAAGCGTGCATCCGCCGCGACCGGATATGTCTCGAAATGGTCTGGCTGCTGCCATTTTATAAAATACGGTTATGCATGGCGTGCCCTTACATATTGCCACAAAAATACGTCAAATCTATAAATTGCGTTACCTTAATACTTAATTTATTAAATAGATATGTTAGATATCTCAGATAGATGATTCATTGTATGATATGTTTAAGATTATGCTGCTTTAGGAAGGAAATATTGCTTGACACGCAGGGTAGCAAATTTACTCTGCATATTCCAATTTTTCTGAAACTGCGTGTTTACTGTTGTTTTTTTGTTTCAATTGATTGCAAATTTTATTCAATTTTTACAATTAAACGATGGAATAGGTATGGGTATATTTGAATATTTTATGTTGCAACGATATTCGATTTTTCCATAAAATCTTCGCACTATATTTCTGCTTCTATCTAAAAATTTGCTATTGTATATCGTAGTTTTTTAAATTTTGAAATTTTCTTCTCTCTAAATTATTTATTAAAAATTTAGACGATGAGCTTGTTTTATCAGTTCATCATTTTTACATAAATACCAATTTCCCACATTGCTTTTGATTCCAAATATTCAATCAGCTATTCCCATTGTTATCTCCAATTTTCCAATTCCAATTTTCTACAATTATTTGTAGTACTTGAACTAATTTTTCCAAAAAATACAATTTTTTGACAGGTTCACTAGATATTATTGATGAAGTATATTGTCGAAGTTTTCTATTATTTTTTCCTACATTTTTCCAAACACTTCAATACCTTATAAATCATACCCACTTATACAGAAACACGCAGTTTTCTGAGCAAGTGGCTTACGAATTTCTGATTCTATTGGAAAACCTTTCTCAGCTATTTTTATTCTTACTTTCGGATAAAATTCAAATACAAGTACACATTTACGGTTAAAATGGTAGACCCTTAGCCACTTAACCTTAATCCTTCAAAATATCTGAGGAATAAATGTAGAATCTTACCGATAAATTACTCCGACACATGCATGCATTTCTCCAAAATTAATTCGTAAGCCACTTACTATAATCTCCATGCACTAGATGTTTTGGTAAACTTATTAATTAATGATATGTTACAACCACTATGGGGTAATTATAGTTAGTATACTTGCTTACACGAAGTTTGCATAAAGTGATGCTATTTTATAAACACTTAGTGCTTTGACTTTATTCTCTTAATTATCAACCTATTAGAGTGAAATTAACACTGTTTTTTTAATTAACAATTAGTGATATGATAAGTAGAAGCTCATAATTATTGACTATATATCATGCAAAATACAATTTTTTTCAGACACAAAATATCCGTTTTGTATGTTTGCTGTCTCACAGATATTTTGGTTCTTCGTTTAGTATAAAAATAATAATTTTACAAAATATTGCGATACAGGAGTTAATATTACCAATCCACCTTTTGATATGTATAGGTACTAGGCCAATTTGTCCCCCGATAAATCGTGACTGGCGCGCGATGAATTACTCTTTAATTCGAATTTAATTTAAATAATAGAATTTTCAATAGCACACTAACATTGAAGTATATAGAACATCGAGATTTGGATTAAAGTTATGGAGAACACCGATAAATAAGTTTAAAGTGTAGTCCAAAAACCGTATTTCAATAAAATTGTTTATTTAATAACCTGATTTTAAGGATGCTGATAGTTGGTATAGTTGTTCATTTATAGCAAAATAAACAATATAATTTTCTTTGGAATACGTTAAAAATATTTTTGGACGCCACTGAACGAGTGTTGGGACAAAAATAGAAAACGGTGGATTACACTACCCCTAATTTTCCAATTGCTTATACATTATATGTGTTCGGAACAATAATCGGTTCCTTCCTATACATTTATTGCAAGAGACACAATCATTTTAGCTTCGTTGGTAGGTGCTACAGTTTCATAGTATTTAATTTTCCAGTAAATGCACAGGATTTAGAACTGCTTATTGTAGAATTAAAAATGGGAATAACACTCCCGCTTTATTTCATGTTATCGATACATTAGTAAAAAGCAGGAGTTTTATGCAGAATATTCCTCGATACTTTTTCTACGATTGCTCACATTCTGGTAGGTAATTCAATTTTCTAATAAGAAGCATTTTATTTGAAGCAAAGTTACATGCTTTCTATATGCTAAATCGCCAACTTATAAATAAGACTACCATTAAACTATCGATGAAGATCGAATTATAGTAGAATATAGTTAAAGAACGAAGTTATTATTATTAAATTATAATAATTACACTTTAAAATAATTAAATTAAAAATTCAATATTGTATGGTGGCATGTCGAAATTTACAGAACAAATATGAAAACATTACATTTTATTGGATAATAAAAAGAATAAATATATTACCAATAAAAACCACCACAATTCGATCGTCAAACAATTACTTACATTATTTTAATATCTATCTAAATTTTCTTGTGTTCTTTTCGAAAGAACGAAACAATTTAACAAAGTTTTCAAAACACTACAACACTTTTAAAGGCTTATAATATTCTAAAAGAGCATTACTGTGACGTACAGAACGGTGCCTGTAGTGGCTAAAAACCCGATCGGCCGGCAAATTTCTCCGCGCCCCGCATTGACGAGGCCATAATCCTTGATGATGCAATTCATCTTCTCCAGCGGCAGACTCTGCAAACTGTACTCCCTGTGCTCCTGCTGCATGATGCACACTGCGCGCTTCTTCTGCATCAGATCGTCGTCTTTGTCCCTCAGGTTGCGCAGCCAATTTTTATACCACTGCAGATCACATTCGCACAGCAAGGGGTTGTCTTGAAATTGAATAAACAAGCGTCAGAGAAGTAATTGGAGAGCCATGAAGGATTAAAATTTGAGAAAAAAACTAAGCTCGAAACTGATAAAAGTGAACTCACCCACTATATCGATTACTTTAAGTGTGTCTAAAACAGGTTCTATCACGTCTTCTGAAATGTGCATTAGCTTGTTGTTCTGCAGGTTTAGTGTTTCCAAAGAATTTAAATTTTCAAACACTACTCCTGTCAATGTTCTTATACTGTAACAGATAGTATTGACTTTCATTATAATTGAATTAAGTAAAGGTAAAGTAAGTAAAAACTGCTGATGAAATTGTAAAAAGAGCCAGAAAATGAGGGATCAAGAAGAAATACAAGTTAGACCAGGAGGGAATATGCATGATAATTAGTAATAGTCTACAAATGTGTCACTACTTACTCGTTTTTTTGCAAGTTGAGGAATGTTATTGAATCCCCATATCCAGCGAAGGCGTCTTCGGCGATGTAAGAAATATTATTCGACCTCAAATCCAAGTGACGCAGGCGGTGCAGTCCTTTTAGGGCGTCCGTTGGAATTGTGTGAATATTGTTATCGCCGAGACGAAGATACTGGAGATTCTCTAAAGGCAAGACAAATTATTTGTATAATAATATAATATCTACTTTCGCCTGCCCTTTCATTTTTATTTTGTAACAACAAAATATATTTGCTGCATAAAAATTGAATAATAAAAATGTAAATAAAATTATAACGCTCATAAATTATATGTGGTTTAAACAGTACTATAATTTACAAGCATTAAAATTTAGGGTAGTAAATTCGATGTTAAAAACTCAAAAATGCGATGTAAATATCAAAATGGGTCGTAAAATTCGTATTAGAACCACCCGAATGGTCGATAAAGTAAGTAATTCCACATCAACCTATTCACGTAAAGATTTCCTCGACGTTCACTTCGCGTGAACAAGTAATTTATTTGCTTATGGACGCATTACTGGAATTATTTTGCTATAGCATGTCTGCCTCAATCTCTTTTAATGGCAGACGCCACGATAGGAAGAAATCGCACAACTATTTAATACCCATTACATTAACACTGCACTTAGGAAAGCTCTTTGAGAGATTCCAGCAATTTCAAGATTACTTTTAAATAATTTATCGTAACTACAAGATGTTGAAGGAAATTCTACTAAGCTTATTATAAATTAGAGGTAAGCATCTTACATGTAGAAAGCACTACAATAATGTTTTTAACTACTATCAATAGAAAGAAATGCATTTTTATTTCAAAGTAGAATCCATTAAACTAGCGAAACGTATGAACCTGAACATACAAAGTAGTAGGAAAATAGGATGCGAGGAAAACATGTAACCTCTCGACCTGCATCGCAAACCGAAACTCCAAACCGTGTAATTCCCGCTAGCTTCGCCCTTTTTTTCGAACCGTATTCCAGTTTACCGTCTATAATTAAAACAAACCTGGACGAATACGCCATAATTTACCTTCCAATCCGACAAAAGCCTCGGAATCTATGGTGTCGATGTTATTTCCGTCCAATTCAAGCGAATTCAATACCGTCAGATGAGAAAAAACTTTCGCCGGCACTTTTCGCAATTTGTTGTGCGCTAATCCCAATGAATCCAGGTTTTTCAAACCTGTAGTTAAAAGTTGTTTGTTAACAAAGGTGTTATTTAGTTACACTTTCATACGTAATTACTGTTGCATACTATACAAAAATAATTACCTTCGAAATCGCCTTCTTGGATGTCGCTAATTCTATTTTCTTGCATTTCGAGTTTCTTCAACATATCCAGAATAGCGAGTGATTTTTGTGGGATTTTTGTTAACCCGTTTCCCCCAAGATTAAGCCTCTTCAATTTCCTATAAATATCAACTCATCAACTCATACAATTTCTTTCGGGAAAACTAACCCATTATTATCTGAAATTTCAAAAAGTTTTATACTTACTTTTCTAGACCAACAAAAGCGTCGGTTTCGATGTTGGTGATCTTATTCTCGTACAAAGTAAGTATTTCTAAGGTGTCTAAACCTTGAAATGCTTTGCTGTGCAGGCTGGTTACTTTGTTGTGGTTCAGATTTAAAATCAACAGCTGGTTGAGGTTTCTTATAGCTTGCGATGGAACTTGGATTAAGTTGTTTTGAGATACATCCAATTGAGTTAACATTTTGCCTGAAACGGAATTCCAGCGTTAAAATAAATAAAGAATTTAGGAGAATAAAGTATTTTACCAATGGAACTAAGCGAGGCCTCTTCGACGACTGACAAACTGCTGTTGTGTATTGTAAGGTGTCTGATGTCCAAACCGAGGAAAATGAAACCGGTCAATTTCCTAAGATTGTTATGTCTTAACTTTAAATAGAAAATGGTCAGAGTTTTCCCCTTGAGTTTTCCCATGGCGTCGATTATGTGCTGCTGGTCGGTAAACTCGCAAAGAATATCCAGACCGTTTTTCTTTACCGTGCAGGAACACGGCGATATTTCCCCAAGCGGAGGACATTGTTGTTGACCCTGCCATAAAAAAATTCTTTATATACCTGTATCAGATACACAATATGCAATGATCCTTCAGATTTACTATTAAAAATGAAGGATCAAAATTAACATGCACTTTATATTCTCTTGATACTCAGGAGCTCTTACGTATGTTAACGCTAACCTCATCAATGTTCGATGAATGCTACTGGAGGCAGAGATAAGAATTTTCATTTTCGATCGTCGTGAAACGATCCCTGGATAATTGGGAAGTACGATTAACGCGATTCACTTACCTACTACTTAGATGGAGATACTAATGGCAACATCGTTTATTGGAAACTTTAGAAAATCACTCTTTAAGTCGGCCTAATTTGATTCTTATCGTGATTTATGAATGCCATAAAAACTTTAGTAATTAATCCGAACGGTAAAGTTTGCTGATTAGTAGAAGGTGTTTAAATAGAATAATCCAGCAAGATTAAACGGTAGTACAATAACTTAAAGAAAGATGACTAGAAAAGTACGAGATTCTCTTCACTTCCCTTAGACGTATCTTTTATAGCCTTAGACTAGCTACAGGCAATTTAAATTTTCATTGTCCCTAATAAAATCTTTATTCGCCGAAATAACGATAAATTCACAATCTCTGTTAGTTAGCTTAATGAAGAGTGAAGCTTAATGGCAACTCTAATTATTACATAACTAGGCAATGTGAAGCTCTATCAAACGCATTGTGGCCACACTTTCCAACGGTTCTCTCGGCATTGTAATATATCAAGGTATATTGCTTTACGTTGCATTATACTCGTACAATACCTGTATGCAATAATGATTAACTTACCTCGGTTGGGGCCAGAGCGCATAGTCCAGCTATCGCAGCCCAAAAACAAATCCATGTCCATCTGAACATCCGCACTCTGGCCATACTCTCGTCCACCCACCTTGCCGGCTATACCATATTCACCGGCTCACATATAATCTGAAACCAAAACCGCGGTGAATTGATTTTTCCTATAATTGCAATCAACTACATATAGACAGAATGATTTACATACGACTTTTGTAATGTAATTTTGTACCGCAAAAATTATGATTATTTACGTAATACTAAAGGAAATAACGCAGTACTGTTTGGTGTATTTCACCACAAATTATCAGTAGATGGAAGAAAACCGCATAAATATCTTATAAAAAAAAGATTTCAAGTTCAAAATGTTACCAAAAAATATTAGATAGATATTAAACTAAAAACAGGAAAGTAATGGTCAGGAAATTGGAGCCAAATTAAGTGGTCAGATAGTATTTAGATGGTGCTCAGGAAAATAATAAATAGGTACAAATAGGTACAATAAATAGGTACAATTTATTAATGTTTCATTTGTAAAATTCAATGAAAATTAGTCTATTGATCTGTAAAACTAATTGCCCAACGGCGGTAATTTGTGTAATAAGTATAGGAAATTTAGGTATATTGTTAATTTATTATATCAATAAAGATGAAATAAGCATTTATTTAGAAACACTTATAAATTATCATAAAACTATATAGGGTAGGGCGGGGCTAGTTGAGCATACGGGTAAGTTGTGCAATCGAAATATCTCGCAAACTATTCACCGTACGCATAAACATCTTATGGCGGAAAGAAGGGGTCGGGGGAGACCTAATCACAGAGCTATTGCAAGTGGCGCCTCGACAAGCGAGTAAACCCCCCGTGCGTTTTGTTTTTTTTTGTGACCAAAAAGTAAAAACGTCGTCTATCGCAAGTTTTCGTCTGTATTAGTCAAATATTATCCGTTTTCAATGAGGTAAGGGTTAATATTCCAGAAAATTATTGTACTTTTGATATGTAGAGATGTTCTGGTTATAATTCTTACGATTTCTTTATGACCTCACTTTTATTTTAAAATTGCGGGTTGGGGTTAGTTGAGCAACTACTGCGAAATTTACCAGGAGAAAGTTGGATTCACTGCCAAGCTTGCAGGGAATGGGCACAAATAAAATGTCTTCCAGGTGCTATGGTCTTACTTTCATTTGTATTAATTGCAACAGTAACAACGACCAAAACTTGCTAATATATTATTAATATTTTTTTAAGCTATTTAATTCTGATTTTAAACAGAAAGCTCGTAAATCACTTTAAGTTTTGTTGTTTTGTCACTAAATCACAATAAATAAAGAGATGATTATAAAAATAAACATATCCTATATGTAAACATACCGTTGCTCAACTTACCTCACCTATGGGGTACATTGAGCATACTTGACTTTCTGCATTTAAACAGCTGTAGCTCTTAAATTCAACTAGTTACAAAAAAGTTACTATGGACACTTTTGTTAAGGGATAAATTACTAATCCATCAAGCCACATAACAAGTCATTCGCACATATCATTGATGAGCTATATCCGCTAAAGTGAAAAGTTGCTCAACTAGCCCCGCCCTACCCTACATTAGATTATACTATCTACAAATTAACTCAGATAATGTTTGCGAATATAGTAACAAATTTAATTACATAAAATTTGAATATCTTAATAAAAACACCTACATACCTATTCTAAAATACTGACGACGATGAACTTGTTATTGAAAATAATATAATATAATTATTTTATCACTGTAGCAGATTTTTTGAACTTTGCACAATTTTACCTAATGAACATGCAGCACAATTTTTATTAAGTTCTCTTTTTACATTTCGCTGTATTCACGTCACTTCACTTCACTTAACATCAACTTCAGGCAGTCGGGGTCATTTTTTGAAAAAAATAATCGATCGCCGAATCAAAATAGAGGCTGCTTAGAATTCAAACGACGTGTTTCGTATACATGGTGTCAGCCGCAAATTGGTCATTTCCTCACGGTATTATAGAATAAAAGTGTAACAACTTTATTCTTAATTGTATTATACGTATCTTCACACCGAGCTACATGCCGAATTCGTCTGTGATAATAGATTTAAGAGAGGAGCGTCTCGATGAGAAAAACCTTGATTGAATCCATTAAATGGTAAATTAATCGATTTCTAGTTATCATAGTAGTTAAGTTAATTAGTTTGCCTAACGCCAAACTTTACCATCAGATGAAGCTTAATTAGCAAAGTTTCAATAATTAACCGAAATGTTTAAAACATATTTTCAATTAAAGTTATAGGAGTTAGGAATACTTAACTACTAAATTAATTCATGAAATTAATTTCGTTTAATTGACACGTCAACAAACTGCGTAATTGAGATTTTAGATGTGCCTAGTTCCAATTAGTTAATTAAAATATTGATTAACGCAAATTGATGTACCGACTACAATTTCCATGTTAAAATAAACAACGCAAAGGAAAACACTACCACTGACTAAATAACCTGGAAAAGCGGACATAAAAAGATCGAATAAATAAAACACCCTTTTTACAAGGCGTTCGCTTTCTAATAGAATCAAATAAAGGAGTGTTTACCAAGAAAATTGATAGTTAGTTTCCTCTTTCCCTTGCAGCTTACCAGACTTAATAAAGCATTGTTGGGAAAATTGCTATTTCTCAGCAAGTAGTGTTTAATGACAATACACATTTACATCTAACTGCAATCAGTTCAGATTTTCTCCGTTACCTAATAAACTTCTTCTTTATGCGTTTATAATTATTTTTGTACCTACTAATTGAATTTTTTCTGTTTAATTAACTTTTTTCACTTAAAAGCAGCTAATTTGTGTTTATTCAAACGTGTTGAGAATAGATGCCTAATTGGTACGATAGTTGAGTAGGCAATTTGAGAGCTTTGGCTCAATTTGGCTCAATATTTTATTAAACCTACATCTTATGTATCTATACATTGCATGCATACATTTTTTTTATATTACAGGCTTGTAATATAATTTTTTATTCATAAAAATTTACATTATCAATAATTATGAAAAATAAGAAGTAATTGTTATCATGAAATCGGAGACCTCGATTGAAATTCAATTTCGATAGAATAACAATCCTGAAATAAGAAACTAGTGGTTCGTTAAATTTAATGAAGTTAATAAAAGAAAAGATAGTAATGAATTCAGAATTTTAAATGCTTACTGTAAAAGAAATTCGTTGAATTTAATGGATACAGATTTAAAATCGCTATTTTCCAGTGAAACTAAATACATAATATTTTTTCAAATATCATTTATATCCATTATCTCCAATAATCCTCCAAATTCTAAAATTAATCCTTATTTTTCTCGCATAAAAGTTCTGAAAATTAATCTACCCATTACTGCTGTATAAATAATGTATCCATACTAAAAGAGTAAATTATCAATTACTTTTGTGTTTTTAATTAGCTGCTAAAGTCAACATTCGTATTGAAAGTTAATTTTATTTTACTAACGACCAGCATATCACAGAAATAGTAGTGAAAATGTTCATTTAATTTGCGTGTCATGCAGACCATTCAAAAATATAGCATGTAAATTGAAATGTTTTAAAATTTTTATTAGCTCGACCACACCGGATGCATTTGGACGCCAGAGGATCAATACACAGGAAATTGAAAGACATTCCCTGTGTACCTACACCACCCACCTAATATTTGGAGCAGTTAAAAAATACATAGCGTAAACAAAGGCAAGTTTTAAATATCATTTACATTGCTCGTTCTTCACTCCACCATTCGTGTGTAATTTAATTACGGAACTCTTGCCCTTAAATTATATTAAGCGAATTTCCCTCTTGCTTGAATTATTAACCTATTTTTTTATGGCGCACATATAGTACATACTTTTATTCTAGATAATCAAATGCCAACTGTAATTAACACCGGCGTTAAGTAGGTCACACAGTACCTGCAAATCACTCGATAACTTACTTCTGTTTGACTTTGAAGGTGATCCAACGCCCGTAATTAATTTCCGAGTCCCGGCGAGGGAGATGATTTAATTCGGTTCGTTTTTTTAATTAGCAGGGTGCGTTTTAAAACCGGTCGTTTCCTCGACAATTTCCCTAGCAATTTATGCTACAAAAACAAGGCTCAGAAATATCTCCTATCCTCTATTCTCAGTCTAATTAAATTTTCACTTGCCGTATTCACGTACGAACCGCGTGGAAATGAGAAAACACAGCTCAATGAATGTGTGTGTATGCCTAAGGAGGAAAATCTTATTATTGAAAGGAATTTAAATATCGAATTATTCCAGAAGGGTACGACTTGCTTTTGCTAGTTAGTTATAAAATAGGCTGGTGGTTAATTGTGCTGCGTTAAATTATACCGTCTGAAACTAGTCCTCTCTTTTGCGCGAATATATTTTCCTTGTAATTACTTTATTTGAACGAAGATGTTGCGTTGCAACAAGTGCTTTGGGAAATTCTCCTTCTGCAATACAAGGATTTGAATTAATTGTTTTGTTTATAGGAAAACATCTAACTCAATTTAATGTAGCTTTTATTTATTTAACGTAGGTAATTGTACAAACGAAAGTATGTCCCAGAAAATTAAAAACGTTTGACGTTAATTTGATGTTATAATAATACAATTGTTCCTAATAAAATCGACACTATAATTTTAAATGCGACTTTAGGCTTAAAGGATTCTTTAAGGTTAAAATATCCTTTATGTCTCTTTACAAAATCGGCCGTTAATTGATTGCAGAATAACCGCTAATTAATTCCCGAGACGACCTAAATTTAATTCATCACCAACAATCGCTTTATCAGAAATCTGCGTAATTATACAGACAATTCGATCCGGTTACATGATGTAAAACGTGCGAATCGATAAGTCCAAGGTTTTCGAACAAAAATAGTGTTAATTTGGGAAGAGTAGTTCGATAACGTAAACTATCAAACCGGAGCCGGAGAATAATATCGGTCGGGCTTCATTATAATTTACTCGAACCCTATCACGAAACGTGCCAATCAATTTCGTGCTGTAACGTTACAAAAATGTATGTAGCTAACTAATTGAATGATGCATGAGTTCTCATCATATAGTACCCTCGAACTCGGGTAATTTG